ATTTACCGGATTACTTGTGTAACAGTGATTTGTACCTACATTGTAATGAAAAAACTGTGAGTATTATCCAATTTGTAATTTAAAGACTTAATATAGGTGTATTAGCCTGCATAGTCATATTTGTACCATGATTCTTATAAACTGACCGTGTCTGTTTTATAATGACTGTAATGTTTCTTATGTTAAATAAAGGAATTAAAAAAAAAAAAAATACTAAAATTTTCCGGACTTACGAAGACTTTATTTGGCGAATTCCAAAAATTCAGATTCGGAGTCTTAATTTTTTTGTGTTTTTTTGTATTTTTATGCAGTAAACCAGAGTTTTTGTTGTATTAATATTTTAATTCGATATTCTTTTTCTAATTTCACCTCGTTCCTACAAAAATCTACTAAGCAGTACAAATACAAGCTTAAAAAAATCACGAACGTACATCGAGAAATTGTACTATCTACCTTCATACCTTACCTTAAAAGAAATTTAATTCCCAAAAGCCAAGGCTTTGAAATGCTTAAAAATAAAAAGAGCCGTAACCGAGGGGATAGAAGTCCGCAATTTCCCTCCAAAACATTTAAGAAAAGGGATCATGAAAACAAGATCTTATTAATAGATTTAAAAGGTTTACAGTGGCTTTTAAGTATTTTACACGTTATGGAAAAGTGAAAAACAGCTTTTAGCATAATTCATACGGTTCGGCTTAACCGCTGGTAACTTAAGACGGGAATTTAAGGAGACCACTGAAACTAGTGACTTAACTTAAATTATATTATTATTTTGTTAATATTCTTATATTTTATATATTTTAGTTCTCCTTAGATTGGTGGCGTCGTAGTTTTAACAGCGTATATAATATCATAAAATCTGGAACAAATATGATATCGATATTCGTACAAGCCTAAGAAATTAAGTCTGAGAATGTACTGTAGCTTCCCCCGTGGTCATTAAAACCCGACGTGTTAATCTATACCAAATCGGTCCAGCCGTTTTTGCGTGAAAGAATAACAAACACACAAACATTCTGACAAACTTTCACATTAGGATATTAGTAAGATTTTTATATTAGTGTTGTTATGACTGTTTCTTATTTAGGTATAAAATTGTCTTCTCTAACCGTTAGGATCTGTTTGTTATTTTTTTTGAAATGTAGATGTATAATTATTTTATAGTGAATCAACATTCACAAGGCTGTTTCGGATAACTCGGTTACTTTAAACTGGGCACAACTCTATGTTAAAAGCTGGCCCAACGTGAAATTCGAGAACGTGAAGTGTGGGAGAGCCATGCTTCGGCACGAATGGGTCGAATCGACCGGAATAATAGCACGGCCTCTCAGAAAACCGACGTGAAACAACCACAGCGTTGTGTTTCGCCGTGTGAGTGAGGTTACCGAACGCCCAATCCCTGCCCCTCTCTCTCCTCATCCCTTCCTTAAAACCCTTATCACCTAAAAGACCGGCAACGCTTTCGTAACTCAATTGAAAAGAAAAGAAAGAAAAACCTTTTATTTCTGTGCAAAACTTAAGAACTACAATAAAACATTAATACCTATAAAAAGCGAAGGTAAACAGAAAAATATAACATGCAAAAAAAACAAAACAAAAAACTTTAAGTATTTAGAGTTGCCAATGTCCATGGGCGGTGCCGATAGCTTACCAGCAGACAATCTGTCTGCTCGTTTGCCGACTTATCCAATAAAGAGAACTAAAACGCATATGAAACCAATACTCTATGCACACAGCAAAAAATAATTTCAAAGAAAACAAATTTTAAATAAATAATGAGCTTCCCCTAGGTCCCAAGTCTACGTAGCACTATCGTTGCCTAGCGATGCAAATCTAAAAGCAACAAGAGATGGCCATCGAAAGCGAGTGACGGGAGACGTGACCATATTCCCAATGACCAGCACTTGTTTATAAGCACCACCGAGGTCAATGATATGCATATTATTCATAGATTGACTTCAGAAAATATTTTCATTATTCCACCGATCGGTTTTTCAAGCAAACCTATCGATATTATACACAGAACAGAAAATTAAGTAGAAGTGCCCCTACACTCTTTCAAAAGGAAAACCAGTGTCGCCAAAATCACACATTAGCAAATCAAATTGTCCATTACACACATAAAAAACAGCTATATAATTGGGTAAAAACATGAAACGCAACTTTAGCAAATCATCTTCTAAATGTTGTTAAAAATTGAGTCTTATAACAATGAGCGAAAGTTGTTATCATTTTACATGTCACAATCAATAAAGGCGTCTATCGTGTAAAAAACTTAAATAAAACAATTTACAAACGGGTTCAGCCACTCAACGCTAGATGGCGCTGTAACAAATTCATTCTATTCAAAACGCTAACTTCTTTGAAATAGATGTCATATTTGTATGCACTTGTACCAATAGACATTTACTATTTTGCTACTCAGATAGGGCAGGGTATCCCAATATATCGATGTTTTTGTATTCATGTGAGCAATATAATTTATCGACACGATATACCTACAAATGATCAGTAATGAAAAAGGTTCTAATAAAAAAAAAAAGAAAAATATTAACATATTTTTTGAAGATTTAATGTTTTTTGGAGATGGTCAAGTTATTATTAAAGATTTCGATTTTAACATATAAAAGCACTACGCGCTCCTACCAGTTTATCTCCTTTCCTAAAATAGAATCATTAAAATCGGTTCATAAATAACGGAGACGAAAAAAAACAAAAAAAAATGTTACAGTCGAATTGAGAATCACTCTCCTTTTTGGAACTCTGATAAAAATCATGTACAACATTTATACTTATAATAAATCTGTAGAGGGGTCAATTCTGTACATTAAATATATTTTCAAAATAACTACCAGGGGGTGATTAGTGATCGATACTGATGCCAAAAATGCAATCAGTAAAAATTTTGTCTGTCTGTCTGTCTGTCTGTCTGAATGTTCTTTATAGAAACAAAAATTACTCGACGGATTTTAACAAAACTTGGTACAATTATTCTTTATACTCCTGGGCAGGTTATAGGATACTTTTCATCACGCTACAAATAATAGGAGCAGATCAGTGAAGGAAAATGTTGGGAAAACGGGAGAAGTTACTCCCTTTTGTAAGTTTCAGTCGCGTGTGTAACCTTAATGTAACCATTAAGGTTACACACGCGACTAAAACTTACATAGAAATTATGTATGACGGAAATATTTTAAATAAAATTGTCAAAAAAAATGTTATACAGGATATGTCTATCTTTTATGGTTAACTCACAATAGCACGTGTAACTCCTGATAGCTTAGCAATTCGGATAATAAGACATAGCGCCGTCGCAAGTGAACACTGAATCATGGTATAAGAATTATTTTTGTGTAGCGGTTGCCGTGCTCGACACGATGCGGTATAAAATAAAATATAATATAGGTTTTATCAAATATTTGTAACTCTTACCTATTAGTTAGATCCGTACCTTTCTATCTATTGACGGACGGACTGCGGAGACTTAGTAAGTAATAGGGTATTTACCCATTGGAGATGTATAAAAATGAGACGATAAATACCAAATTTTATGTATACTTAGATTTTGTTCTCTTGCTATTTGCTGCTTTTTATCAACACAGCACGCGGGCGAAGCCGCTGGCGAAAACTAGTTATAAAATAAAAATGGTGATTAACCACCCGCACCTGCCACAGACGGATGCACGCTGTGTGTGGTTAAAACGTTGATGTGTCTATGCAATCTTAGTTAAACATTTATGAATTATACACAAAAATTGTCAAAAATCAATTTTCTGAACGATGATGATGAAAAATTATCGATATGAACCTATTTTACGAATATGTCGCATCCCTAAATGAGTAGCGTCGAAACTACTAGAATGTATTGTATATAACGTCACATAACGAACAAGTAGATTTAAACTTAATTGTAATGAAAATAAGGCCCTTTATAGTTTGCATTGAAGTAATGAAATGTGATATTTACATTAAAATCTAATATATTTAAAATTAACAAAGGTTAATACTCAAAGATGATACGATACACCACCACAAGACTCATCTTTTTTTCTGCTTACTTTTTTGCAGTTAAAAACCGCACAACAAGGCATAATTTCTAATATATTTCGTGTTTCTTAGAGACAACCATGACAACCAATCATGACAACGGATCGAACGATTCTGACAACAAATGTGCCAAAATGTTGTATATCTAGTCATCATGTTGGTTAGCGCGCGATGTCTGAGGGGCACTTCCACTGTATTTTCTATTCCGTGATATTATACGTAACTTGTAGACCACTATTCAAAAACTACTTTGTTTTTTTTATTATCTATTACCTTTTGCTCGCGACTTGACTTTCTGCAGACTTTTGAAAACTATCCTATGTCCTTTCTCGAGTTCCAAACTATATCTGTACCAAATTTCACAGAAATAGGTTCAGTAGTTTAGGCGTGAAGAAAAAACAGACAGACAGACTTACTTTCGCATTTAGTTTGGACTAGAAATTTAGAGGCTTTTCGGTCACAACACGACTATTTTTTTTTTTGTGAGGGGAAAATTATCAATTTACTTCTCCCGCCCAGACTAAAAACCCCCCTGTTCCTTCTCCTGCTCGGCCGAGGTCGCGATGCCTCATACTCAGTCCTACCGTAACCTTACATAATATTTACACTATTCAGACTTTAAAACCTTATATACTACTATTACATCACTTATATACTATTATATATTGCTTCATCTCTATTTGTACCTTCTGGAAATTAAAAAGCGTAATACTAAGTTTACACAAGCAAACAAATAACTAAAAAGTTATAAGTAATTCCACATTACTTGAAAAGTTTATTCAAAGGGCGTTACTCCGTACAACAACAAACAAAAAAAAAGCATTTCACTGAATTCTTTTCAAACAATTTTATTAAATCATAGCTTTAGTCCTTCAACAATACAAAAGTTGTTCTAAATACAATGAAAAATTGACAACACACCGTGTTCTATGTCACACGGTTTTCGAATAAAAATGGTGGAAGAAAAAACAAATGAATCACTTTTCGAAAAGTCGTTGAAGAAGATGTTGGGGTTCTTGAAAAAGTGTTTTGGTAGGAAGGTTAAGCCTGAAGAAAACGAAGCTCCATCTAAGGTTTATTGCAATTAATTTTATTGTAGATATACCTTATTTATTATCCGTAGTTTTCGTCATATCATCGGCCTTTAAGTGCCCACTACTGAGGCATCTTCACATTTATCACCACGCTTGCTCAAGGCGGTGGCTTGTCTAAATGCACTAAGAAAATACGTACAACTTAGAAAAAGTCATATTGATCACTTGTCAGATTTTGAACTCTTCATAATGTTGTGTATTATGTGAAATAGTCAAATTTTTTAAGCATGGCGCCTCGAACCTGACCCTATTCATTGACTGTGAAGCAGATAAAGTCTAGAAAACTTCTTATCTTTGGACGCCATTTTAGGAATATAAAGACTCATCTGAGAAAATACTCTTACTATAGACTAATGAGGGCTGATTCCTATTATAACATTTCTCTACACTGGACGGGAATGCGGTTTAGCCTTTCTATATAGCAAAATGTTAAATAAATAAGTGTTGCATTCAAATTACATATGCTTACTTAATGCCCGAGACATTCTCACTAGTTAAACAGGAAAAAAGAGAAGCAACCAAAAAGGAAAAAAAGAAAGAAGCAGAAAAAAATATTTCAGCCAGTAAAAACATAGCCGGGTTGTAGGGTAAGCTCAATAAAGCACTGCGGTCTCGGCGTAGAAACAAGAGAAGGAACGAGTGAGGTTTTAGTCAGTAAGAGTCTGACACTCCCTCTCGCCACATCCTGGGCAGGCGAAGTCATTTAACGATTTTCCCCTCAAGAAAAAAAAGCTAGTCAAAACATTTTAAGTATATTAAAAATGAGCATCAATATTTTTATTTTTCTAGGTATATGATGTGGACTCGTACGACGCAACATTTGCGATTACGAAGGCTATACTCAGACTTGTTGGTCTACGAATCACCAGAGATGATTCTACTTTTGCCAGGTAATTTTTATGTATTTTTATTATTATTTTCCTTTATGGACCCAGATATTGTTATGGATTAGCAATGTAATGAGCCAAGTAAGTGTAAGAGAGCTAAGCTTCGGCACGAATAAGTAGGCTCGACCAGAGTGATACCACGACCTCACCGAAAACCGGCGTGAAACAACCACAGCGGTGTTTTTCGCCGTGTGAGTGAGGTTAACGGAAGCCCAATCCTTCCCCTCCCCCAATCCCAAAATCTCAAATCCCTAACCCTTATAAGGTCGGCAAAGCACTCATAACTATTCTATTGGTGTGGGTGTACATGAGCGGCACTGATAGCTTACCATCAGGAAATCCGTCTGCTAGATTGCCGTCCTACAACATAAATTAAAAAAAAAACAAACTGAATTGGCAAGGGCAGGTAACATTTGCAGAAGAAACGTTGGGGTTGCTGTTCTAGAGTGGAGACCACGTCTAGGCAAACGTAGTGTAGGACGCCCTCCAGCTAGGAGGACTGACGATATCCGCAGGATGGCTGGCAGTGGTTGAATTAGAAAAACTGAACATTGAGCTCAGTGGCGTGCAATTAGGAAGGCCTATGTTCAGCATTGGACAGAATCAAGCTGATGATGATAGACCCTTTCTCATTTTACCTATAATCATATCGTAAAAAAATATCATAGGTATGTAATCTTAAGAAAAGGTAGAAAAATCAACGAAAAAGTTTGAATTATCTTTAACACGTTAAAGGCCCCGTAGGTCACCGGTGACCTACGGTAGTGGAGGATTTGTTTTCAAATAGTTTCCTGTCAGTAGTCAAAGGCTTAAGCTAGGCTAGTATAGTTTTTAAACTTACTCCAATTTCAGGTTACTCTGGAACATCTTCTACTGGTTTGAATTCGGCAACCTGTTTGTGGTGACTTGGCTGGAGCTGATCAATATGGCGAAGACGGCGAGAGGAGGATCCTTCCAGGATGCCGTCGAGATATTCCGTATGATGCCTTGCGTCGGTTATCTGCTGTTGGGTAAGATTATAAGAATAGAAGGCCTATGCCTTTTGGTAACGATTCATCATGATTAAAATAAAATAAATCTATAAAAAATGAATCGCAAAGTGTTTTTGTAAGCTCATAACTCAACAATACCTGGACCAATTTTCCAATTCTTTTTTATTGTGTTTTTTATTATCAGTAGAAGGTTCTTATGAAAGAAAATGATAGAAAACTAAGTAGAGGGGAAAATTGGGAATAGTATACATTTCATAGTTAGCCAGGTATTTGGGTAAAAATTAAAACCTTACTTGGCAAAACCCGTTTCCTGATTACTAATATTCATAAACGCCATTATTTAAGGTAACAACATATAGTTGAGCTATGCGGCTTCGCCCACTGCTCGGCTCCTCCCTCGATAAATGAACTATCCAACATAAACGACCACATAAAAATTGTTCTAACCAGTAATAACCAGTAATTTCGGAGATTAGCGCGATCAAGCAAACAAAAATACTCTTCAATTTTCAATATCAGGTTGCATATAGTATTGGCGTTCTGCAAATAATCAAAGTGCATATTTGCAGCCATGGCGAAGTCCTACAAGATGGTGTACCAGCGTCCAGTTTATGAGAACCTGGTGAATGAGCTGCGCAGCATGTGGCCGAGGGGTGAAGTGTCGGATGAAGAGCATCAAATCATCAGCTCCGCTCTGCGACACCTCAATTATGTTATACAAGGTACATGTCTCTTAAACATATATAAAAATGCATTGTAGTTCATCAGTCCCGCTAATACTCGACAACGGCTGGTACGACAAAAACGATACTTTTCTATGAAAAACTGGGTTATGACGTCGAAGTATTTTTGCTTTAAATAGCTTACTTATTTCTTAATAATTAGTTTATAAATATCTAAAATTTAGTGTTTCAAATATTTTATTGTATTGAAACGTCTAATTAATTATTTTTGACCTAGGCAACTACCCAATTATAATATACTAGCTTCCGCCTGTGACTTCACCCGCTTGTTATATGGATAAAAAGTACCCTATAATGTCCTATTCCAGAGTATATCCTACGCCTGCGCCAAAAATTCAGATTTAGTTAATTCAGATCGTTTTGCCGTGATTGAATAACAAACATCCAAACATTGTAACTTTCGCGTTTATAATATTAGTAAGATTAGATATTAGTAAGATTTATATTTATTATAATATAATAAGTAACTACAGTTTAAAAAAAAAGAGACACTTGTTTTGCACCTACTGTAACACTTCTCTGCATCATCCGTATGGTAGAGATCCTTGACTGGTAGAGAATGCCTTTCGGCATCGAGTCCGCCATTGTATGTTAGTACATAAAGTGTTAAAAAAAATATGGTAATTCAAAATGTTGAAGTTGATCAGATAATGCTGTAACCAACTGCTTTCTCTTTGTTCAATGTGTAGTCTCTTAGTAAGGGAATGCTGGCAAAATTATTCAAATCTGCAGCCACCCTTTCAGTCCACAACCCTATGTAGTAGGAGACACAAAAATAAATAAAACAACACTTTCATCGTATAAATCATATGGACCAGTATAACCTGACTGTCAAATGCGTGGAAAAGTCAAACAAAGCGAGTCCATCATATATTGTTTTTTTATACATATACATATAGCCGTGTGCACATACAGTCTTGGGTGAATAATTATGCCGAATCAACATAATTTGAATGGAATTTTCGGATAGAAATTTTGTTTCGAAATCGGGTGTGCTGGATAAAAATACGTTTGTATTCAAATTAGAATGTGTGTCATTTGAGTAATATCGGACAATGTTCTAAAAATTTTCGGAGAAGACTGAGAAGAAGTCTCGTATCAAAGGACACTGTGCAGCAAAGCTTAAAGGCAACTAGTCTTCACCAAATGCGTCTGTATAGAACACTCCCTGAAGACTATGAAATTACGATTGGACTGCCTGAACTTTAGTAAAATCGGAAATCTGGTGATTCGACTGATAAACAACATTTTCATTGTGTGATAGATCGGCAAACGAGTAAACGGATCAGGTGATCGGCGTCGCCCGTGGACACCCGCAACATAAGGGGAGTTATGGAGATCAGGATTTCGGAGATTTAGGGACTAGGGAGAGATAGGGGAAGGGGGGAAGATTGGGCATTCTGCAATCTCACTCACACGGTGAAACACAACGCTGTGGGTGTTCTACTCAAGTTTTTTGTGAGACCATGGTATCACTCAGGTCGAACCAACACATTGTGCCAAACATGACTCTCCTACATATCAACATTTTCCGTCAGTATAACGAAATTTAGTGGATGTTAAAAAGTCAGTTAACAAGGTAACCTAAAAGTTAAATCGTTAGTAAAAAAGTTAACTTTATTAGTTAACGATTACCGAACTTCTGCGCAGCTTTGAACGTCAGTAATCCGCTTAATTGTAGATAAAGCTTGACGACATGCCCTAGCAGTAGGCTTTCGGAACAAAAAAGGTTTTACATCCTACTATCCTACACAATATTATAAATCCTACTATTTACTAAGCAATATTAAAAACCCTACCAGTACCTACTTATTATAAATGTTAAACGGTCCTTTTCTGTACACATAACTTAATTGTCAATACAGTTTCCACTTGTGAGTGCGGCTAAACACAAGTACTCTTAACTACTTACTTACATTCATGTAAGGCTGATTTAGGTGAACTTTAATCCGTCTTAAGTGGGGTTTTGAGATTGATTACCTAATTAACCGAGCAATAATTACTGGATACATAGCCTAAAGTTTGTAAGAATAGATGGATGTATGTTATGTATGTTTCTTATTCTTTCACACAAAAACGGCTAGACCGATTTGATTGAAGTTTGGTATGTAGATAGGTGATACCCTTTTTTTGAGAGGGGAAAATCATCAAATGACTTCTCGGGCCCAGGGCCGGGCGGGAGGAAGTGTCAGACTCTTACTGACTAAAAACCCCCCTGTTCCTTCTCGTGCTCTGTGCCGAGGTCGCGGTGCCTCATTGCGCTTACCCCGCAACCCCGGCTGAACATCAGCCCTATAGGGCCCCGTCTGTGGTATAGGTGATACCCTGGATTAACACATAGACTTCTTTTTATCAATATACCACACGGGTGGAAGCTAGTTATGAATCATTGTTTTCAGGGTACTACTGGTGCAACAACGCCCTCCTGGTGATCTTTCTATCCCCACCGTTCGTTGAGATATTGAAGATAGCGATGGGCCACGACACACCGCTCATACTCCCATTCTTCTACTGGTTCCCCTTCGATCCTTTCCAAAGAGGTTATTATGAGGTCATCTTGGCTGCTCAAACCTGGCATGGTAAGCATACGTTTTTTTATTGATTTGGTGGCAGATATATGTACAAATCTTCTTTACGGTGATATATAGCGTCGTAGTTTCTTTATGCATAACACGACACGCAAATGTGTCTCTATCCATATTCAATAAAAAAAAATTATGGTATAAGTCGGCAAACGTGCGTACGGATTACCTGATGGTAAGCAATCGGCGCCGCCCATGGACACACTCATTATTGTTCGTCTCACGTTTTATTGTTATTTCAGTGTCTTAAGAGATCTTTTTGCTTGAGATCTGGGATTAGGTAGTTTTCCTTTACTATCGACTGCTAATAGAGGTTTGCTGATTTTTATATTTCTTTTTGGTTTTTTGAAAATTAAATTCAAAAACAGAATTGAAAGTTCTCGAGTGCCAAACTTAGAAGAAATTCTTTAACTACAAACCTAAAGAAATAGACGCTTCTTGTTTTTATAGAGCTACAAGTAAAATTAATCTCTGTCTCTGAATACAAAAGGATCATTCTCGATAGGCCAACGTTCAAGGCATACAAGACTGCAACATTATCATGATGAGCTGTCAAAAGACGACAGTAATTAATTTTGTTCTATCATTTAAATATTTTCAGGGCTCATAACGAAAAGGGTGCCACCAACAGATGGCGTTGTCTGTCCATCCATCTATCTCACTTTAATTCAATTAGTTAATCTTAAAAAACTTATTGGTATGTTATTTAAAACTATGATCCATCTCAATAAAATAAATCGGGTGATATAATTCTTGAACTGTCGATTCTAAAAACCAAGCTGTTTGAATGGACAGGATTTTGAGATGAGGTCCAAATGAAATAGTCGACTGCTAGACAATGCCATTTTTGTGGAGGGAAATCATCAAATTTTGGGTGCATTTAATGATTTTTCGAAGGTCAAGAAAGAGCGTCAGACTCTTAATTACTTACTAAAAATCACCGCGTTTCTTCTCCTGCTCCAAGCCGGGCTGCGGCACCTCACTTGATTGCGCTAGCTTTTTTTTTTTTTTTTTTGTGAGGGGAAAATCATCAAATGACTTCTCCCGCCCAGGGCCGGGCAGGAGGGAGTGTCAGACTCTTACTGACTAAAAACCCCCCTGTTCCTTCTCCTGCTCTGTGCCGAGACCCCGGCTGAACATCAGCCCTTTAGGGCCCCGTCTGTGGTGGTCTATTGGCTCTTTGAGGCGCGCGCGGAACGCTACGCGCCGTACGCTCGGGCCTGGTTCTGGTCGGGCGGCGAGCTGCCCTTACTCGCCGACCGCAGGCCCGTACTTACGGTGGCCGGAGATCGTCCCTCGATCCCCGACGCCCGTAGTGTCGCCAGTTGCGGCTGCTGGGGCGTGAGGAGGAGGATTGCTCCCTCACGCGGGCCGCCTCTCTCTTTGCGAGCATGACTGCTTCACAAAAGGAGGAGACGGCGTCCCAGTTCCTCTCACTCCGCACCATGGCCTCGGCTAAGGCCGGGCGCGAGAGGTCGCCGCCGCCGATCACTTCCCTGAGGATACGGCGGTGCTCAGCCCAGGCAGGGCATACCGCCACCGTATGCTCCACCGTATCCTCTAGGTGGTCCTCACAATGACGACACTCGGGCGTTTCCTCCCGCTGAATCCGAAACAGTGATTGCGCTAGCTGGCAGAATCTAATATGCCAATAAATGGGATCCTCATTCCATTTAGCAATTACAATACGGTTGTTTCCAACTAGTCAAATTCAATACTTTTATTCAAATGTCAAAAACGATACTTTTCTATGAAAATTGTATGAAACATTGAATTATGACGTCATAGCATTTTTGCGTCAAATAGCTTACTTATTTTTAAAAAATTAGCTGAGAATATCTAAAACTTAGTGTATCGATCGATCGATGAATAAAAGTATAGTTATTTTTCAATATTTTATCGTATTAAAACGTCGAATTAATTTATTTTTGACCTAGGAAACTACCCAATTTAATGAAGGTGTCATATTTTGATTAAAATTAAATATGAAATATGTAGTTTGTGATTGATCAGGTTACGCAAAGTTAACAGAAATATTTAAGTTGACTTAAAAATATTAAAACAGTACAGCAAATAAAATAGAGAAATACGGTTTTGTTTAGGTAACATAATCTTAGATTTTTAACTTTTAAACTTTCGCGTTTCATCTTAAGAACATTATATTTACGCGGGTATTAACGCGGAAAATTATAATTTGAATACCTTGGTAGGCTTGACGTTTCGACCCGGTTGCACAGGTCGTGGTCAAAAGCAGACTGAAGACGCGATGTCACAGCTCCCTGCATTCGGGTGATGAATCTTCATCTACCCCCTTATTTTCATTTTCTACCATATTAGGCCGTCTACACACTACGCTGATTATATCCACAGATGTGTTAACCGACTTTGAAGGAAAGCGAGGTTGTGTTTTGCGAAGCACTGGATTCCACGTCGACGACAATTTAAAGCCGTCCTCCCGATTGAAATTATTTGGGCATTTCTTTATTTCAACCGCTTCACGCACAAGTCTTGTATGGTAGTGGCGATCAGTGGAGAGAATTTGCGGTCGGTGGAATTCTACCCAGTGATTAGAACCAGCCTGGAGCAGGTGTTCTGCTATCGCTGATTTGTTGCTCTGTCGGTTTTTGACTGCGGCGATATGTTCTTTGAGCCTCTCAGCAATGGTCCGCTTCGTTTGCCCAATGTAGGAACTACCGCAGCTGCAGTTGATCTTATAAACACCTGGGCTTTGTAGCGGCAGTACATCCTTCGCCGTGCCTACCTTATCATGAAGTTTAGCCTCAGGTGTGTAGATCGTCGGGATCGAAAACTTTTTAAGGACGGATCCTATCTTGTCTGTCACACCCTTGATATAAGGCATGAAGGCAGGTTGTCTGCTAACGTTTGGATGTCTGGCTCTCTTCAGCGGTCGCAATAGTCGCCCATCCCCTACACTATATCCGTTCTTTTTAAGTACCTCCTGAACATGGTCTAGCTCTTGCCCCAGATGTTCAGGGTCACAGAGGTCATATGCTCTGTTTTTTAGTGATATCATCACGGATTGTAAGTGTCGGGGGTGGTGATGTGACTTTGCATGTAGGTACCGATCAGTGTGAGTTGGCTTTCGGTATACACAGTGCGATAAGGACCCATCTGATCTCGCGGTTATTTTAATGTCCAAGAATGACAACGACCTGCCCGTCTCCAGCTCATAAGTAAAACGCATTTTTGGGTGGATGCTGTTTAGGTGATTTACATATTGACGTACTTCTTGTTGACCTCCCTTGATAATGCTGAAAATGTCATCCACATACCTTTTCCAAAGCCTGATGGTATTTGGGCCGAGGCTCAATGCCTGTTTTTCAAAGTGTTCCATCCAAAGATTAGCTAACACAGGGGCCACTGGACTTCCCATGGCTACGCCATCGATTTGAAGGTAATGTTGGCCTTGAAAAAGGAAGTAATTTCCATCCAGGCAGTGTTTCAGCAAATCAATATAGTTGTGGGGCATGTCATTGTCACTAAGTACATTTTTGACAACATCCAGACACTCCTTAATTGGCACATTGGTAAATAACGACTCAACGTCAAAGCTCACCATGAGTTCATCAGGTTCCAACTTCAGGCTCTTTACAAACCACGACCTGTGCAACCGGGTCGAAACGTCAAGCCTACCAAGGTATTCAAATTATAATTTTCCGCGTTAATACCCGCGTAAATATAATGTTCTTAGATTTTTATTCAATTATTCTTCAAATAGCGTTCGTCTAATTTCGTTACACAAAACTAACTTATCAGTCGTAACAACGTTTTCCGGTTCATTACTAAATTAATTCATCAGACCCCAAGCGAATGCCAGCGTTAGCGCACCTATTATTCTTTTATTGTATTTCGAATTACCAACGATCTTAGTTTACTACATTAAACCGCTAGATGGCGCTGTTTGATATTATAAAATCACACGAGTTGAATGTTGCCAAACAAAAACTTATTCCTTGAAGAAGTACAAATAAAATAGTTGAAATAATAAATGAAGTTTTACTAGAAAAAAAATAATTTGTGTAATTTTGGTGTTTTTGTAAAATAGAACAAAAATAATAATATGTATTAGGAAATGTAGCACGATGAACTTATTTATACAATAAATTTTCCTTGAAGTTGCATTAATAGGCGGACCTGCTATAGCACTTAAACGTTTAATTAAAATTTTAATCGTACCAATTGAAAATTAAATAATTCAATAGTCCTCGCCACATAGTTTAAAAAAAGTTGTCTTTGTAGGGCAAGTTCGCGCGTTGTCAACCTTCTTATTTTGGAACATGGAAGTATATTAAATAATAATGAAAGTTTATTAGTAAGGATACAAGGCATTTGTGTAATATATACGAGAACTGATCAACTACGACAAAATCTTACCAAGTTTCATGTATAGTATATTTTATATTAGTACAAAAAAGTAACAAACACTAAAATTTTAATACAACAGTTACAATGAACACATTTTCAACACGTAAATAATCCAGCAGAACTATAATCACTGTATCACAATTCACAATCTTAAAACCTATCAAATGAAGCAACGATTTATTAAAACACACATTATTCCTTTGTAATACAGTCCAAATTCCTATTTATCTTCACATTATTCTGAATTATCACCATCACTATTTACGTATATCATAGAATCCATATTTAATTTGTCCATTTTAGCAAAAAACATAACTTCACCTATTAATTTCTCGGCTAAACATAGTTGTAGTTTTGGGAGTTCTTTAAGCATGCATGTGATTGATTTTCCAAAAGCTTCTGCAGACTCATCATCGCCAGATACGTCTGGCGATGACGTAACGATATTATCCACCTCATTCTGATCCTGGCTAGGTATTTCTTCAAGTGATTCCATTTTCACTTTTTTGTGTAATGGTTCCTAAAATGAAAGACATTCGATTGATCAATCTTATTTCGTTTACTCTACTCTTAACGAATAGTATTGAAGTTTATGTGTGTGTGAGTTTTAAGTGAAAGTCTAAGGAATAGAGTATCACACTTTTACACCTGAAGATATTATACAAAACCAGTTTATCAAAATCTCGCTTTGTATGATGTTTATGAACATTCAACAGTTTGACTGCACGGTTGTTGCGGTGGCAGGGCAACTGGCTCCGTGCAACGTGTCGCGGGTTCGATTCTCGCACGGAACAACTCTTTGTTTGATCCACAAATTGTTGTTTCGGGTCTGGGTGTCATGTGCATGTGAAATTGTATGTTTGTAACGCTAGTGCATGTTTGCTGTACGTTAACTGGATCGAAACTTGCGCGTTTAGCCTTCTGGCTGGTTTGCTAACTTTGAGAAGCAGGCCAATCAGAGCGCCGAATGGCCGAACCTTATGAACGTGTGCCAAAAACCTAAGCGTTAAGTAAACCCACACTATGCACTGTGATAAAACTAAAATTAATAGTCCATTATTTGGTACTTCATCATGATCAGCGTATAAGTGCCTACTACTGAGCAAAGGCCTCGCTTCACGCGAAGTAGGTTTGAGCACTAATCACCACACCTGCTCAAGGCGTATTAGCGATGGCGTTTCCACAATATGTTTTCATAAAAAATCTTATAAAGTACTTATAATAACATAGATAAGCACGCATGTGATTGAAAACTCACATTGGTATTACCCTCGTGCATGAGGAGCAAAGAAAAATTAAGCCCTTTAAACTGCGACGACCACGTACACATTATTAGTAACAATAATTAGTACATAAAAAATAAAAAAGTCTACTTACATAATTTAAGTCTGAATCGCTGTCATAATCCAAAGTAATATAATCCTCATCTAAAAATTTTAAATGTGAGTAATACCACAGTGAAGGAGTATATGGCTGACCGTCAACTATAGATCTGTCCACCTGAAAGCATTTTTTTATTGTTTTTTATATTTCAAAATTACAATTTAATAGCAATAAACACAGTGTAATGTTAAAAAAAATATAACCAATTAGTTGTTGTAAAATATGTTTTTACCGTAATTTCAGGTAAATTTTAATACTTAAGTGGCAACACTGAGCGCCATATTTCTGTTCATTACAGTTACACACTCAGTCACAATTTAATGTTGAATACTTCGTTGCTTAAGCATAATACGGTACTTTATTTATTTTTAATTAGGCACTAACCTTTTTCTTCTCCCTTTTGTATGCTGCTCGCATATTCTCGATTTTCTTTTTCAACGCTACCAATGTGCCTGCTTCATCGTATTTAGTATAGTATTTCAACAATAATTCGTACGCTTCTTTTCGAGCATCGCGATTGTGATACTGTTTATGTGTTATATCCCACAACACTGGCAATTCACGATATTTTGCTATAACTTTAAGAAGCAAGTCTTGGTCTGTAATTAACACTATTTTGGCGGCCATCTTGTTATGATGCGCGCGCACGATCTCCTTACGGCGCGACTTTATCTGACCGTGTTCGGGTCGCTACTGAGCGTTAGGAGATTGGACACGACTCGGTCGGGTCGGATTTGACATTTGATAAACCGATGGGCTGGCGTCTAGCCCATCGTAACCAATGTCTTGAATGTGTAAATAGGAACCGAAATAAAAACTGAAGTTATTAAGATTAATATATGTAAAACTTATGACGTTCAATCCTGATATCTGTTTCAGATATAGATAGATTGTTTTAACCTTTCAATATTGGTAATTCGAGACACAATAGAAGATCAGTAGGTGAGTGAGCGCCGGCGTTCGCTTGGGGTTTGGTGAATTGATTGTTAGATATCCAATATCCAAACGCGAGCCTGTGGAGGACTAAATGTTGAAAATGGGCGCAGGTGAGACAAAGAAAAGACATGTGTTCTCAACGACTGTTATATTTCGAATAAAGTCAGTTACAGAAAGTACGAATGAACTGAACATTGAATGATCGAATGATTGAATGTTTGACGAATGATTGAAGTATGCTGTGAATGAACTTGGATATTTGTATAGGTATATACGTACACAATGCGTATATTCCAACAGTCCCCCTCAAATATTCAAGTATTTTATACAATCATAAATATTACCTACTGCATTTCAAATTACAATAACTTTGATTAACAGCTTACATTATTTGTTGTACATAAAACATAACAGCATTTAAATAAAATTATTTCTCTAATTACAATAAAAAATATATATTGATAAGTTTAAATTAAGTTCAACTTATGCCTTAATTCTAAAAACTTCGAAGCATGTACCATTTTTGTGAAGATGTCAGCTAGTTGATCTCCTGTGAAAATATATTCTAGCTTTATTACTTTATTAGTAATTTGTTCCCTGGTAAAGTGGTACTTTATATCGATATGCTTGGACCGTTTGTGATTTGTAGGATTATTAGCAATGCTAATACAACTGTTATTATCTTCATATATAATTATTGGTTGTTTTATCGGAATAGAAATACTATGTAATAATGATTTTATCCAAATAGCTTCTCTTACAGCTTCAAATAATGCCATATATTCAGCTTCTGTTGAGGAAGCGGCGACTGTATTTTGTTTCCGTGTATTCCACGAAATTGCACAATTATCGAATACTTTGAATATGTGACCTGTTGTACTTTTTCGGTCAATAACGTCGCCTCCCCAATCAGAATCTGCATACCCTATCACCAGTTGTTTGTAATCACATTTCACATAGGTCAGCTTTAAGTTAACAGTTCCTTTTATGTATCTTAAAAGATGTTTTAAGCACTTCCATAACTCTTCATTATTTTTACTTTGATACCGACTCAAAATACCGATAGCAGCACAAATATCTGGTCGTGTACAAAGCATTGCGTACATAAGGCACCCTATAACGTTTCTACAAGGAGCATCATAATATGTATCTGAGTTTAAAGCATTATAATCTAATTTAGATGGAAAAGGTGATTTTGACGGATTACAATCACTCATGGAAAACTTGCTTAAAACACCCTTCAAGTACAAGGATTGGTCTAAAGTTAATTTACCTTCACATCGTTCTACCTTTATACCTAAAAATAACTTAATTTCTTGTAAATCTGTCATACTAAATTCTTTCAATAAACGATTTTTATACAATTTTAAACTATGTACATCTTTTGTACAAATCATTAAATCATCGACATATAAAACAATGTATACATTTTTATCCATACTTTTCTTATCTAATATGTATAAACAAGGGTCTACTCCAGAATTTTTGAAACCTATATCCTTAAGAGTATGATCGAATCGCTCAAACCAACATCTAGATGATTGCTTCAAACCGTACAGTGTTTTATTTAACTTGCAAACTTGATTTGAACTAGCTGAGACACCCTTTGGCACTTCCATATAGATGTCTTCCTTAAGAATGCCGTTCAAAAAGGCGGTTTTTACGTCCATATGATGGGCATGTAAATCAAACTGATTTGCAAGAGCTAAAATAAATCGGAAAGTTGATATTCGAGCTACTGGAGCGAACGTTTCGTCATAATCTTGTAAGTATTGTTGAGTGAAACCACGAGCTACTAATCGAGCTTTGTAACGTGTAGGTTCAACCAACTCGTTATTTTTAATTGTAAATACCCATTTTGAACTTATTATGTTAACATTTCTGGGTCTTTCTACAAGAGTCCAAGTATTATTACTATGAATAGACTTTATTTCACTTTCTATGGCTTTTAACCATTTACTAGAATCATCTCTATACAAAATATCATCATAGGTACATGGTAGTGATTGAACAGTTGTGAGCGATAAGTAAAAATCAGGGTCATTAATCTTTTTATAATCAATTGTGGGTAATTTGAGAATTCTTTCACTACGTCTCAGTTTGCTAGATGAAGGTCCAGCTTCTGAGGTATTATCAGGGGAAAGATTATTTTTGTGTTTGTTGCCTATTAACTTTGCCGATTTGACGTCGTTATCGGGCTTATTAATTTCGGCGGGAATTTGAACCGGTATTTTAGTTACTTGCCTAGTAGATTCGAAATTCAACTCGTCAAATACAACATCCCTCGCAACAAGGAACGGATTATTTTCTGTATTAAATAATTTGTAACCATTTTGGTCGTAACCAACTAATATGGCTATAAATGACTTTTCGTCAAATTTCGATACTTTAGTTTTATCATGAACATAGGCAGTCGAACCGAATATTCTTAAGTGACTTATTTTCGGTTTTTTATTGTGCCACATTTCGTATGGTGTTTTATTATTCGAGAGCGCTTTTGTGGGTAGTCTATTTGTTAAATATGTTGATGTTAATATAGCTTCACCCCACAATATTTTATTTAATTTCGCACTTGTAACCAATGTTCTAGCCATTTCGGTTAACGTACGATTCATACGCTCCGCAACACCATTTTGTTGTGGTGTATAAGGTACCGTTAAATGATAAGTTATTCCCTTACAAACACAATAATCTTTAAAATCATTTGAAAGATATTCTCGCCCATTATCGCAATATAAATTAGTTACTTTATGGTTAAATATGTTTTCACTTTTAGCAACAAAATCTTGAAAACATTTCAGTACTTCTGACTTAGCGTACATCAAATATGTAACAGTGTAATGTGTAAAATCGTCTATAAACGTAACAAAATAGTTCTTATCATCTACAGTAGAAAGTTTTATCGGACCGCACACATCAGAGTGAATAATAAATAATGGTCTGTTATTATTATTAGATTTATCTTTACATTTAGCAAACGGTAATCGGGCCTGTTTACCAAGTATACAAGGTTCACATAACTCATCAGAAGGAATTACCAAATTTTCAAAAACTTTACCATCATTTTCATCAACTACATTTTTTAACATATTCATTTTTTGTTTATTTAAGTGTACACAGTCTTGGTGATTTTCTTTAACTAAATTTAAGTAATGCAGAGAATTATTAATTTTAAAAGTAATACTAAAAAGATTATTAATGTTCTCACCTGTCATAAAACATTTATTATTTTTACCATAAATTTTAACTGCGTTATTAACAAAACTTACCGACATACCAGTCTTTTGAATGCGATTAACCGATAACAAATTATAACGTACCTCAGGTGAATACAAAACGTCATCAATTGATCCTTGAATATTTAAATTTGTTGTTACCTCGATTCTTCCTTTACCAAACGCCAGGATTGAAGCTCCATTCTTAGCAACACCGATTTTCAATGGTGTGGGTAGTTCGACATACGAGGTAAAAACCTTTTTAGAGTTGACAATATGATCTGTCGCACCAGAATCTAAAAGAAAAGAAACAGTATCATTTTCTAAATAATTAGCAAATAACTTACATTTCGAAATCATAAAAACGAAACCGTCCTCGTCATTTTTGCAGGATTCAATGTTGTTGGCAGACTTTTTGAAGTTGGCCGATTGATTATTTTGCTGCAGTTTCTTAAAGTACCGGCAGTCCTTTTTGAAATGATTCCGACGTCCGCAATGATCACAATACATTTTTGATATTTTATGCATTGAATTTCCGGGTTGATAATTATTTTTCTTTTTAGGGTAGATCTTACTGTTGTTATAAATTCTTGACGAATTTTGAGCACCAATATTTTTATTTCCTGTTTGTAGGGCCTTAAGTTCTGTGGAGGGCTCAGCCTTCAATTTCACTTCATGATCGAGTAGGCGTGTCTTCACAAAGACCAAATTGAGTTGTTCTTCACCTAGCGTCTCTAACGCCGTTATAACACCGTCGTAAGATGTGGGTAGTGTGAGCAAAAGATGCGATATTTTGTCCATTTCATCTAGTTTTGCACCAGCAGAAATCAATTCGGTAATCAAATTATCAAACTGCGTAAAATGCTGTAATAATGTCACATCTGGCTGTAACTTTAGGTTTAACAATTGCTTTCGCAATGCTAATTGTGTAGCCAAGCTTCTCCGCTCGTAAATCTTGTCAAGTTCCTCGAATATAGTCTTGGCGGTTGCAGATTCTTTGGCAAAATTTAAAAATGCGTCACTCAAATACTCAATAATAGTACCTTTAGCAATTCGGTTTTTCTTCCTCCAAACCGCGTCTGGTTCCTCTCGCCATTAAATGGTTGGATATTTCTTTTGTTGCGCGAATCCATTGTATTAATTAATATTTCCACTTTAACACTATTTTAATTTTATTACTTTTAACTATAGAAAACGGCCTGGGCCCATAACCTGTTGAAAATGGGCGCAGGTGAGACAAAGAAAAGACATGTGTTCTCAACGACTGTTATATTTCGAATAAAGTCAGTTACAGAAAGTACGAATGAACTGAACATTGAATGATCGAATGATTGAATGTTTGACGAATGATTGAAGTATGCTGTGAATGAACTTGGATATTTGTATAGGTATATACGTACACAATGCGTATATTCCAACACTAAAAAATAATATAGGTATGTTCTTAGGTATTTTTGGGTCATTGATTTTAAAATACAAGAAAAAAGTAGTTTATGCAGGGGAAGTAGCCTTTTTTGGTGGGAAGTATAAACCCTCTCGTAAAAAGTTGGAAAAGTGGGAATTTATAGCTCCCCGTGTCCAGTATGACATCAATATTTAAAAACTACACTAGTTAATTGCCTTCGCCGCGACGCGCACGCTGTTCATGATAAAAGTCCCATTGTGACTGATACTAATAGAGTTTTTCTCAGTCACGTGAGTAAGTAACACAAATATTTGTATGTCTTAGCTGACAAAACATAGAGCACTTAACACTATTTACCATAAGATCTCACAATGTAGGTACTCACCTATGTTTGAGAAATAAATAATGATTTGATTTGATTTGATTTGATTAAGTCGTTATCTATACTATTACTATATAATACTAGCGGCCCGCCCCAGCTTCGCACGGGTCCAACTATCTCGCTATCAAAGGGTCAGTTTTTCCCACTTTTCCCCTCTACTTTTCTAATATTTTCTTTTATTTTTGATAAGAACCATCTCCTGACTATAACAAACATAACAAAAAAAGAATTAGCAAAATTGGTCCAGTTGTTGTTGAGTTATGCGCTTACCAACACATTTTGCGATCCATTTTTTTAAATATATAGATTATTAAGCTGTAAAGTTTGTTTGTTTAAACGCGCTAATCTCCGGAACTACTGGTTCGAATTGTAGGTACTTACAATTCTTTTTGGGTTTGTTAATCTAATCCATTTATCGAGGATGACTATCACGCTACGATATTATGTAGGAGCTGAGCAGCGGGAGTAGCTAGTATGTCCCTAGATAGTTATTATTCAAACATGGTGATATAAATATAATTTTCTTCTTTCTACAGGTCTGATAACAATATGGTTCATGTTATGTGGGGATTTGTTATTCTGCATTTTCCTAAGTCATATCACCACACAGTTTGACCTGCTAGCTGTGAGGATACGAAGACTGGTTTACGTGCCGGTTGATAAGCAGCTTGTCCATACATATCCACTTGGTAAGTACGTAGCTGGTCAAATAAGGAGACTCATAATTACCATGTTCAAGTGTTTAAGAGTGAGATAGCCATGTTCAAATTTGGGAGAGCTATGCTTCGGCACGAATGGGTCGGCTCGACCGGAGTTATACCATCCTCACATAAAACAGAAGTGAAGCAACGACAGCTTTGTTTCGTTATGTGAATGAGGCCTTCCCCTCCCTCAATCTCCAAATCCATAATCTCCAAAAGGTCGACAACACACTCGTTACTCTTCTATTGTTGAGGGTGTCCATGAAAGGCGCTGATTGCTTACCATCAGGTAATCCGATGGCTCGTTTGCTAACCGAAGACATAAAAAAAATCATCTTCATTATCATCATTACCGCCATCATCGTCAGCCCGTTTCAGTGCACAGCTGAATACTCTGCCCCCAGCTGGCCTCTCCAGTGGCACATATACTTACTATTTTCTGAAAAGTAAGTTAGAAAAAGGTTAAAAATAGGTAATTAAATTGACAAATCAATCAATATCAATCAAATGCCGAAGCATGCCTCTCTCACATTTACAGATAATGCCACAAACCATCTTCGTATCTTTCAAATCTGTTACAAAGCTGTCCTAAACTTAAACAATAATCCGAACAATTTTTCCTTCACTAAAGTAAAGGATCAACAATAACAGGATCAAAGGCTTTCAAATTAACAAAAGTCTGTAATTAAAACGTGTTTATTGGTTCGTAACGTCTTAGAATGGGTTTGACGTTTGAAGTCGGTATCCCGCCTTTTTAGCCAGGGCCGGATTAGCCACATAATAATATGTAGGTAATAAGACCCGTAAACTTTGCTCTTTGCCTATTACACGGGACTTAGGTACCGAATGTGATAGTTTTCTATGATATACTGTGTACTTGATAATAGTACTGGTATTTGAAGTAACACCGAAGTTTGTACATATATATATTATTTAATCCGGCAACCTCACTCACACAGCGAATCACAACGATATGACTGTTTCACGCTGGTTTTTTGTGAGGTTACTCAGGTCTAGCCGACCCACTCGTGCCGATGCACGGATCTCTTACATTTAGATTGAGAAAACTACAGGCCCCATACAAATTTAATTACTTAATCCCTCTCTGAGCTCATCTTGATTAAATGGTAGGTATCTACAATATCTCATATAATGTCTGTTGACGACATAACTAGAAATAGCGAAGCATATACTTCATAATGAACTTGTTTGAAATGCCCTTGGCACTTTGATATTTCTGCTTGACTTAGGATTTGTCTATGATTTGCATTTTATCTCTAACGTCCTTAGTTTTGGTGTAAAGGCGAACAATTGGGTAGTTTCCTAGGTCTAGTCTAGGTATAAATTAATTCGACGTTTCAATACAATAAAATATTGAAAAATAACTATACTTTTTTAATGATCGATCGATACACCGGATTTTAGATATTTTTTAGCTAATTTTTAAGAAAAAAGTAAACTATTTGACGCAAGAAAACTATGACGCCATAACTCAGTTTTACAGGGACCATTTATTAAGTACCAGCTTTTGTCCGCGACTTCGTTCGCATGGAACAGTGACTTCCTGCGGATTTTTGCTATAAAAACCTATCCTATGTGCTTTCCTAAGTTCCAAACTATGTCTGTACCAAAATTCACAGAAATTGGTTCAGTAGTTTAGGCGTAAAGAAAATACAGACAGACAGAGTTACTTTCGCATTTATAATATTAGTTTGGATTTTCCATAACAAAATCCCAGGCGAAATACAACACTTAAATGAAAGAAATTTTAAATTATGTGTAAAGAAAACTTTATGTAGAAAAGCATACTACACACTGAATGATTACATTGTAGATAAAGATGCTTGGAGACATGCTGGTCCTGCTCCACAGGATAGCAAACCTACACCAAAATAAATAACGTTCCAGTGGATTTTGCTTGAACGGGACTTCTTCATTTTAGTGAAATTGCATTATATTGTATAACTATAACTTGATAAATTTGTAAATGTGAGTGCCCTGTAACCTATTATAATTGGTTAGACTAGCAGAATGTCGGTCCTTATAACAGCTTGGAGTTGTCATGCTCACTGAAAGGTCACACTGGCGGTGGCATGGGCGCTGGATCGCTTAATTCCCTATAATATGGTTGAGTTGGGCGATGCTGGTGTACGTGTCATGCTCGTGAACGAGCGCCGTCAGTTGGGACTGGTCAGCTCCAAAAGTCAAAAAAGTCAAAAATCATTTATTCCAATTAGACCTTTACAGGCACTTTTGAACGTCAAACAAAATTTAAAATAAAAAATAGTGTCAGTCTGTCGGTCAGTCCTCTTAGTGAAGCTATTTGCTCGTTCCAAAGTGTAGATTCCGATGGAGAAGAACGAGCAAGAAACTCCATGGTTACTCTTTTTAAATCAGTTTCACATACAGATTCCTTTTACAAACAGTTGGTTCAATTATGTGAGAACAGTGTAACACTAATATTTATTCAAATATAAAAATTAAGTAACCTTAAGGACAATAGACAGTCTGGAGCTGACCAGTCCCAACTGACGGCGCTCGTTCACGAGCATGACACGTACACCAGCATCGCCCAACTCAACCATATTATAGGGAATTAAGCGATCCAGTGCCCATGCCACCGCCAGTGTGACCTTTCAGTGAGCATGACAACTCCAAGCTGTTATAAGGACCGACATTCTGCTAGTCTAACCAATTATAATAGGTTACAGGGCACTCACATTTACAAATTTATCAAGTTATAGTTATACAATATAATGCAATTTCACTAAAATGAAGAAGTCCCGTTCAAGCAAAATCCATTGGAACGTTATTTATTTTGGTGTACGTTTGCTAATCCTGTGGAGCAGGACCAGCATGTCTCCAAGCATCTTTATCTACAATGTAATCATTCAGTGTGTAGTATGCTTTTCTACATAAAGTTTTCTTTACACATAATTTAAAATTTCTTTCATTTAATTGTTGTATTTCGCCTGGGATTTTGTTATAACATTTAACACAGAATCCCATGAACGACTTATGTACCTTTGCCAATCTAAATAATGGCTGACATAATCTATCTCTATGTCTAGTTTGATAATTATGTCTATCTGACACCTTATCGAATATTTTTAAGTTTTTCCTAACATACATAATGTTTTCATAAATAAACTGACATGGCACGGTCATAATATTGATCTCTCTAAACTTTTCTCTAAGAGACTCACGACGCTTTAGATTGTAAATAGCTCTGATGGCACGCTTTTGCAAGACAAAGATAGACTCAATGTCAGCAGCCTGTCCCCACAACAAGATGCCATACGACATAATGCTATGAAAGTAGCTGAAGTACACCAGTCTTGCAGTGTCCACATCTGTTAGCTGTCGGATCTTCCAGACAGCAAATGCTGCAGAGCTCAACCGTCCTGCCAGAGATGTGATATGGGGCCCCCATTGTAGTTTGTCATCTATGGTTATACCCAGAAAAGTAGTTTGTTTTACAAATTCCAATTTATTACCGTTTAATAATATGTCACATTCGTTACTTTTAACATTTGGCAAACTGAATCGTATACATTTAGTCTTTTTGTCGTTTAGGACTAAATTATTAATTGTAAACCAATTATGAACCTTCGTTATAGCATTATTTACGTCGTCATAATTATCTGTCCGTCTATTTATTTTAAAAATCAACGATGTGTCATCAGCAAATAATACCATTCCCGGTTCACGTTGAAATAAATGAGGTAAATCATTTATGTACACTAAAAACAGGAAAGGACCTAATATTGAGCCCTGTGGTACGCCCATAGATATGCTAGTACCCTGGGAGTTCACTTTATTTACTTGTACTTTGAACTGCCTATCCTGCAGGTATGATTTTAATAAATTGAGAGATACCCCTCGAATGCCATAGTGTTCCAACTTCAGCAACAGTGTCGTGTGTTCAACGCAATCAAAAGCTTTAGACAGGTCACAAAAAATCCCAATAGCGTCGTTTGACTTTTCCCATGAGGCAAAAACATGCTTAAGTAGAGCTACACCGGCGTCAGTTGTGCATCGACCCTTGGTAAACCCATATTGTTGGTCATGAAAGATGGAATTTATGTTAAAGTGTCGTAGCATCTGAGAAAGCATTAGCTTTTCAAACACTTTACTAAGCACTGGTAAAATTGATACCGGCCTATAATTATTGGGATCATTGTCATCGCCAGATTTAAACAACGGGACTACCTTGCTAAGTTTCATCAAATTTGGAAAAACACCCTGATCTACACTTTTATTAAAAATTACAGCTAAGTAAGGCGCTATAGCTTCTATAAAAGACCTACACACCACAACAGACATTCCCCATAGATCCTCTGTAGACTTAACTTTTATGTCTTTAAACGCCTTTATTACTGATTGCGGGTCCGTGTACTGAAATCGGAAGCCAGAACGGCATTCTTTAACATTTCTTTTAAGAAGACTAATAGAAAGTGCCGGAGATGATTCTAAGTCTTTCGTAGTTTTAATCCAGACTGTCTATTGTCCTTAAGGTTACTTTATTTTTATATTTGAATAAATATTAGTGTTACACTGTTCTCACATAATTGAACCAACTGTTTGTAAAAGGAATCTGTATTTGAAACTGATTTAAAAAGAGTAACCATGGAGTTTCTTGCTCGTTCTTCTCCATCGGAATCTACACTTTGGAACGAGCAAATAGCTTCACTAAGAGGACTGACTGACCGACAGACTGACGCTATTTTTTTTTTAATTATGTTTGACGTTCAAAAGTGCCTGTAAAGGTCTAATTGGAATAAATGATTTTTGACTTTTCACTTTTGACTTTGACCAAGGTTATGTGTCTCACAAAACCGTGTTACCTTATTTATTAATAACAAAAAAATATTAAGTATTTACATTGATTGTAAGTATTAATAACAAAAAAATAAACATTATTCTAATAAACAAATAAAAAAAGGTTTGTACCTAAATAGGGATCAAATTAGCTAAACCCTTGTTTCCAATTACGATCCGTAGCAATGACATTTCAAGCCAGTCTCCGGCGATACAGATTCTCTAATTAATCAATATCCCGGACTGTTTCCATTTCCATTACTAATATCTACTCAGGCACCTCCGCCTTACGTCCTTGACTTGCGAGAGAGAGATCACACGAATTGTCAAAAAAATATTATTAACATGTTTGAGTTTAAAACCAAAATTCATCACACCCCAAAGGAACGCCGGTGTTCGCGTACAATTACTACAATTGTAGGTTAAACCTTTTATTTGCTATACACACATAAATAGAAAATATAAAAATAAACATTAAAAAACACAATGTAGCAAGGGGTCCATCTCAGTGTATGCTGTGCTAATGCACAGCACTGATTTGAAGGCCCCTGACTGTTGGGGTAACAAACACATCTTGTACACGAAATTAAAATAAATGAAATTAATAAATTTAAATAAATAAATGAATACCTAAATGTAATTTCTATAAAGTTACTGAAAAGTGGTTGTTTGAATACGGTAATCTGGAGCTCCAGATTTAAGTCTGGGAGAGCCATGCTTCGGCACGAAAGGGCTGGCTCGAGCGGAGTTATACCACAGTTACAGAATACCGACGTGAAACAAAGCCTGCGTTGCGTTTCACAGCAAAACTGAACAAAGGCCTCCCCCTTAGGCTTCCACGTCGAAATACAACTCGTCACTTGCATCCATTGGCTCCCCGCAATTCTGACCACCTAGCGTGAAGACTACCCACGCTACGTTTTTCAGTCCGTGGTCGCCACTCAAGAACTTTTCAGACCCATCGGCCGTCCATCCTTCGAGCGACGTGACTTGCTCATTACTAACAGCATCCTGCAGATTTTACGAGCTATGTCGGTAACTTTGGTATATATCCAATATCTGTTCCTAATTTAAAAACATTTTGCAGGTGAATATTGTCAAGGCTATGCACAAAAGAATAAAGATATTATCGAGACGTTTACTGATAAGGATTGGGAGACGAGACATCAGAGAGATCTGTCTGAAATCATAGAGAGGCATCGTGCTTTAATCAGGTAGGTTGCGACATGATTTTTGTGTGATGAGAATATTTGGGTATACGAATAAGAGTTCCGTGAATTAAATGTGAAATGCTGGACTAGTTTCAAGTCACAACGGGACTCTTATTCACAAGCAGCGTGCACATCTCAGCAAAGTCGCTAAAACGTAAATGTGTCAGTATTTTCAATGAATTTAGTATGTCTCACGATGCGAACAGGGCTCTCATTTTTGCATCCGTAACGATTCGAACGACCTGATGAATAAATGTTACCGAAACTCTGTATCTTTGTTGATATTTTATTGAGACTTATCAACACCAATATAAATTAATTTAAAAGAAATAAAATCCCTCTACAACTAAATAAAATCAAATAACAATTCAAATCAAAACAAAAGAAGGAAAAGTATTCAAAGCTTTTCATTTACATTATGTAGTTTACTTGTCAATAAAATTCGACTTACCCCGAAGCCACTCGGGTCAACTCGATTCTCATTTTGACGTTGAATCGATTCAACGATACCGATTCATTCCATCAATGTCATTTGCATGTAAAATGTTAGACAAAGGGATATTCGTGCAGATGGTAGGTCAATATTGATCGATTTGCGTAGCTCCCTATAAATATTATGATAATTTTAAATTGTATGTAACAGTAAATGTGGTAAATAAAGTTTTTAAAAGTTTATTTGTCCTTAAAGTTATTTTCTTTTTTGTTACTTTGAATAAAACTAAGTGCGGCGCGGTGGCTGGGTAAAAAAATGTTACAAAGAATCGGTTTCTGATACTGATTGAAATTGAGTACCTAACCATGGAGTTTCTTGCTCGTTCTTCTCCATCGGAATCTATACTTTGAAACTAGCAAATAACTTCAGTAAGAAAACTGACCGCCAGACTGATTCGTTATAACTTGAGGTGTTTAGCTCCCAAAAGTGCCTGTTAGGGTCTAATTGATATTTTTTGTATGAGATAGGTTGGCAAACGAGCAGACGGATTACCTGATGGTAAGTAATCGGATGGACATCCGCAACACCGAGGAAGTTACGAGTGCGTTTCCAGCTTTTAGGGATATGGGTTTTGGATATTTAAGGATTGAAAAGGAATGGGGAGAGGGGTGGAGAACCTCACTCACACAGCGAAACACAATACTGTGTTGTGTTTCACGCCGGTTTTGTTTGTGATATAAATGATTTTGACTTTAACTTTGACTTTTTGGCTTTGTGAGTTATTTTGTGCAGACAAAAATCAAGTTCGATGTAATGTATTTGAAATAAAAGTACCTAAGCGAATTAACGGAGTCAAACCACAAAGGTTATGCTGTAACTAACCTTTAAAAACAGAAATAAAGTCATGTCCTCAACCACGGAATAGAAAATACAGTCCTGTTCTGTGTCCTCAACCTTACATTTAATTTCACTTACACTTAATAATATTACTTATTTGTATTTTTAAAAACGATACTGTTGGAAAGTCATCAATTTAGTCAGTCCCCTAGAAACTGAACGACACGCATTTTTTATTTAGCCGTATAACAATACTATTGGTGCTTTGTTTAAAATTCGAACACGATTAACAAATTGAAGGGACCACCAGCCACCTGCCGGGCTCATTTGTCAATCTAAACTATACAAAGGCATACAGAAAAATTCCTTTAAATCGGTCAAGCCGTTTAGGAGGAGTTCAATTACATGCATACATACTGCAGAATTGCATCTATACTAATATTATAAAGAGGTGTAATAGGTAGTAGAGTCACTTTTCTCAGGTTTAGGTATGTATGTTGCGTGGGTTTTCGATGGATCGGAGATGGAAGGAAAACGAATCTATTGTTACGAAAGTCTGTATAATAAAGTAAAAGCAAATAGAGTAAAGTTTGGTGAATATAAGATTAATAAAACTAAACACAACACGAAAACTGGGAGCGAGCGAGAGCCGCGAAAGACGTATTACTTGTGCTGCGCACTGCGGCGTCGGCGCGACTAGTTTTCGTGTTGTGTTTAGTTTTATTAATCTTATATTCACCAAACTTTACTCTATTTGCTTTTACTTTATTATACAGACTTTCGTAACAATAGATTCGTTTTCCTTCCATCTCCGATCCATCGAAAAATTGTAAGTTAAAAAAATTTGTAAGTTTGTATGTATGGGGTAATCTTTGGAACCGCTGGTCGGATTGCCAAAATTCTATCACTGATAGATAGCTACAATGTTCCTGAGTGCTATAGGCTATAAAACATCAGATCAAATGGAGCTGAGCAGCGGGTGAAACCGCGCGAGAGTAGCTAGTATATATATAAAGATAAAAACATGGTGTCAAATGTTTTAAACAATTTTACCAGATGTACATAAAAAAATGTCATCGTCTCTGTATTTAGTCTAAATCAAATCAAATCTGTTTCCAGGCTTTCCGGTGATGTGGAACATCTGTTCAGCTTTGCTCTGCTCGTGAACTTCTTCAACAGCTCCATAATCATCTGTTTCTGTGGCTTCTGTTGTGTTGTAAGTATCACGTTAACACCTAAACGTAAAACCAAAATATTAGATCTATCTAAATGCTTGTAGACACCGCCTAAGTCACGTTTTGGTTACAAAAAAATCCTTTACACAATTTCTGGGTTAAAAATCTAGGTTTTTGTCTTATAGTTGATAAACTTTAAACATTATATACCTCTAAATACCTTTTTTGAGAGGGGATAATCATCAAATCACTTCTATCTCCCAGAGGGAGTGTTAGAATCTTACTGACTAAGAACCACCACATTCCTTCTCCTGCTCTAGGAAGGGCCGCGGCCTTATAGCGCTTGACCCGCAAATATAAAGACACTTGAAGGACTAAATTGTCACATCTTAAGTTGCTAGCTTCTAAGTCCATATGTGGGTGTCCATAGGTGTTGGAATCTAAAAAGACACCAATTTCCAAAAAAAATCTTTACTATAATTATGTACGTACTTTACAGTCTGATTCGCCTCCCATTACATCCACTGTTTTCTCTTTCGAAGAATAAAAAAATAGGAGAATAGACCGTATCGGAAGTCAAACTAGGAAGTTGTTTGTAGATAAAATACTTCGATAACTACATTTCAAGTATAAGGCTTAAGGAAAATGCAGCGGCGTCCTGTCGGTAACTACAGGTGCTAACATTTTATTTGTTTGTTTTGTCCGTCTATCTGTTGACTTGACATAGACAAAGATAGGCTTATAGTAGACTCATGACGCCTCCAAAAGAGTAAACAAGTTTTGGAAGGTTTTCATCTAGTTTTTTATGTAACTTTGAGTGTAAAAGTTGCTGTTTCATGACCTGTTTACTAAAATAAACTCATTGTTTCATTGTGTACTTACATTCCTACTTTTATTGAAAAAATGTGGGAGACTCATGCTTCGTCACAAATGGTCCGGTTCGATCGGAGCCTTACAGAAAACCGTTGCGAGACCACCATAGCGTTGTGAAATGAAATGAAATATTTTATTTGTGATACATAGGTTACAGTGGTTGGTCATATTTGGGGTTACAGTGCGCTATGATCTGCCTACTATAGGCATACAAAAAAGAATTAATTAAATTTTTTTATACTCAACTAGCAAAAACTTACTCATAGTGAACAAGAAATACATTACATTAATGATTACATTATTAAAGTATTATTATAAATGATTACATTATTAAATTATTATTATAAATGATTAAAGTATTAAATTATTATTATAAATTATTAAATTATTTCATTACTATAAGTACAATTAACTCAGGATGTCAAAAATAATAAAATAATTTTTACTATTTTATAATCATAAAGTCGGTGCCTAGTTAGTTAGTGTCTGTTCTAGTCTAGTGATTATATAGCTAAGTTCAATTTCCTTCTAAGAACTATTAAATATATAGTTTCCTTTTCAGATAGTGGAAAAATGGAACGAGATGGTATACAAGTCATTCATGACGACAGCGTTGTCACAAACGTGGCTTCTCTGCTGGTACGGCCAGAGGTTACTTGAGTCGGTAAGATATTAAACCTATACAGGTTGTTCTTTTTTTTGTTGGCTAAAAACCCTCCGTCCTTTCTCCCTTCTCTAGGCCGAGGCCGCGGTGCCCGCTTACCCTGCAATCCCAGCAGACAGGATGTCTCTGGAAGAATGGATCAAAAGTAAAGGGGGCGTAGAGTAGGTCATTACTCTTCAACATTTATCGAGTAATGTGGATCAAATACTAAAAAAAACTGTTGATGCGTTAGTAAGTCGTTATGTTCAATAAGAAGTGTAATAGGATGTCTCAGTCTAGTTACTTTAATAAATTCGGAAAATGTCACATCGGCACTTGCAAGGTTACGAACCTACTCCCTCGTGCAGGAAAGGCGCCTAACCAGGCCACCAGAACATGCAATAAATAAAATAATGTGTTACAAAAATCAAAACCAAAGAGTTGTTACTTATAGCCGTATTTTAACATAGCACAAGCCAGTACTGGTCGAATTTATGACGATAAATCAAGAAAAGGTCTACTTGCTTATAGGTAATGAAAAATTACACAGATAAAAAATTCGCAAACAAGAAAATGGATACAGAATACACATGAATTGCTAATTTATTTCGATTCAATAAGGAAGGGAAGAAACGAATCCACAATTTCCTTATATTAGCGGCCCACGGATTTTTTTCTTACGTAAATTTGTGTGGGGATCTTACTTAATCTACCTTTTTAGGGTTTCTTAACCAATGGATACAAAACGGGCCCTATGTTACTCCGCTGTCCATCTGTCTGTCTTCGGGCTGTAACTCTTAAACCTACCATTGACTCCTCTCTACATCACCAAAAAGGTTCGACTGGCAGAGAAGTCCTGTATTAGTTCAAAAACTTAAATAAAATAAAATAAAACGTGATTACCTACTGGATAGTTGAAATATACCAAATTCTAAAATCAAAATAAAATAAATATTTAATTTCCCATGCAACAAATATAAAATTGTAAAGCTGTTTATGGCTGGCAAAAAAAAATAAGCGAAAGGTATGGAACCTTTTTTTACGTAAGTCCAATTCGTAATGGACCGACAGTTTTTGTAATGAGGTGCATTTTCGAAGTCACTGGATAGTAAATAAGTATCCTGACTTGCAAACATGTGACCCCATTTTGTTTCTAGGTTAATTTTGTGGTGGGAAGAAGAGGTCAAACTGATCCCTTCTTAGTATAAAACAAAGTAGCTTTCTGTGTCCCTACATCCCTATGTATGCTTAAATCTTTAAAACTACGCAACGATTTTTGATGCCGTTTTTTAACAGATAGAATGATTAAAGATGAAGGTTTATATGGATTTGTATAAATAAAATCTACTAAATACATTAGTATATTATATGTATGTATATTAAATACTACCTACTACAAATACGGCTACACGGTTGGCGCGCTGGCTGGGCAACTGGCTGCCGCGTAACGTTTCGCGGGTTCGATTCCCGCACAGAACAACTGTTTGTGTGATCCACAAATTGATGTTACGGGTTTGGATGTGATGTGTATGTGAAATTGTATGCTTATAAACGCACCCACGACACAGGAGAAAATCCTAGTGTTAGGCAATGTCTCTATTTTTCACAAAAGATGTTTTTTTAGATTTTTTATAATTATATTTTGTATTCAATAAAATACAATTGCGTTTAATTCAATTTAAGATAAGTACCTAGTAATATAGATATGTATAGTAATTTATTAATTAATAGCAAAGGTTAGGTAGGACACCAAAAAATGTTCATCGATTTAACCCTATTATTTTTACTATGCCGTGAGACCTACCTACTTAATTGATTTATAACTTGTAAGTAGCGTTTTCTCAGTTACTTAGCTAATTCGCGTCGGTAATAAGAGAGTAGGAAAATGATTTGGTAAGCGCATAATTCAATAACGCCGTTTTTATTATTGTCAGGAGAAGGTTTTTATGAAAAAAAATCCAAAGTAGAGGGACACATGGGGAAATAGCAACGAGGAAAATATTCAGATACCAGTTGCATTTAGGTTTGACGAAGTGACCCAACTGGTCGAACCACAATCAATAAAAAGATACATAAATTTATGTATATTTTCTTACAGAGCGAAGGATTATCAGATGCCCTCTATGAAAGTGGCTGGTATAGAGCGTCCCAAAAGATTAAAAGCTCTGTCCTTATCATGCTTCACAGGTAAATATTTGTTTTTATAATAACTATCGTGAGACATACTAAATTAACTAAAAATCGCGGGTTACTCACGTGTCTATTTTGAGAAAAGCTCTACTAGTTTCGACTCGTACTCATGAGGAATGCGGCGTCGCTGCTCATGAGGAAGCCTCTGTGGTTCGAAACTAGTAGAGCTTTTCTCAATATATACACGTAAGTAACCCGCGATTTTTAGTTAAATAAGGTAAATATTTCCTTGAACAGAGTTCTTACAGAAAATTTACTTTAGAAGGTACTTAATGGGAACGAAATGTTACCTCTTAAATATTTTTTTTATTTGGAAATATCTCAACCCTAACATCCCTGATCTGGACTGCCAGCCCTGGTTTCGATTCCAAATTAATTAATCAATCGATCAACTAGTTTGTTGCTTTTTTCAGGGCCCAAAAAGATGTGCACGTTACCACGTATGGGTTTTCCATAATTTCTTTAGCGAGTTACACCACGGTAAGCATGTTCGCCATATCCTTAAATAGGTATATGTAACTTTTGAACACTCGCAACTCCACACCAGTAAGTTGCCGGTCTTCGAAGGAGACGACACTCTTGTAGGTACTTACTTTGAACGGCCCTAACCGAACGGACTGCGAGCCATTCGACCGACGTAGCCAAAAATCGTCTACGTTTGAAAGGACCGGTAATAAAATGATTTCAACATTAATATGGAGTGAGAGCGGGGTTTTTGTGGAGCATTAATGAGTTGCTTTCAGATTAACACCATCGAATGGTTACAGCGTTTAGCCTTTTGATTGGTTTAGTAACTTAAAACTAGCCAAACGGATTGCCCAACGTCATTACTGTGTCGATCGCGATTTGGAGTGAAGCAAACTGGCGCTAGGCGCTTTGACCGTAAGTGAATAGGATCCCCCACAGTCACCTGTGCAACACTACACCAGTAAGTTGGTTTTCAGGGGAGGAGAAAATCCTCCTGTAACGTCGTCCTCATTCAGATGGCAAAATAAAATGTCTGGGTTCGTGTAAGGATGACATCCTAACATTCACCTGTTCGTGCAAACCTGTTTAAGTCGATAGACGAGACTCAATAATAAAATATAATGTACTTATGTAATGTGTTTTGTGAAAATAATATTTTTTTATGTTACAGATAATCAAGACGTCTTGGTCGTACTTCACTCTTCTTCTTAATATCTATAAAAAGTGAAACCTTACAATAAAATTGTTACTCGTCACATAAATATCCTGTTTTCTATCACAAGCCATTTTTAGCTCGCATCTATACAGCTGTTTTATTTTTCTCATAAAATGCAATATTTTAATAAAATCTAAATATTTTACCACATTTTTTTTCTTGAGAGTGAAAAATAATTTTATTTACGTCTCTTGTTCGCTCTCTCTCTTACCCAGGGCAAGGCGATTGGGAGGGTCAGACTCTTACTGAAGAATAAGTAAACCCCGTTCTCTTTCCTGCTCTAGGCCGAGGCCGCGGAACCTTATTGCGCTTGACCCGCAACACAGGTCTCGTGGGCCCCCTTCGTAGTTGTCAATTGACTCTTTGAGACGCGCGTGGAACACTTGGGTCTGGTACTGTTTGGGCGGCGAGCTACCTGTAGCACCACAATAGAAACTCCTGATTAGAAATTATAGGTACAGGACCTCACGATTCCCCTGTTATAGCAGCGGTAAGACCCCTTTTTAAACAGTGGCTTGACAGACGCCACGGCGTCCTAACTTTCCGCCTGACGCAGTTTCTAGCCGGGCACGGCAGCTTCGGTAGGTTCCCGTTTCGGATCCGGCGGTAGGAAACGGCCTTGGTCGAAGGCATGGCGTGGAACGAGAGCAAAGAAGGAGACAACTATTCTCCTCACGCCCCAGCCGCCGTAAGTGACACTTCGGGCGTCAGGGATCGAGTGATGTTCTCCGACCACCGCAACCTCGGGTTTGCGGACGGATCCAGTCCTGAGCTTACGGCACCTTGCGTTCCGCGCGCCTTAAACTGTAGATTTGCTCAATAAAGACAGGATATTCAGACAAGTTACATAAAAACATTCAAAATTCACAATATTTTATTGCCACTTTCCAGGCAACCAGAATAGCTTCCGCTCGAAAATGTCAATTCAAAACAGCATTTCTTAGAAGTAATTATTTTTTATTGTTCAATAGATTTTTTGTCACTTGTTAATGGAATTAAAATGAAAACAAACATAAAAATATTGCATCTTCATTCCAAAATCCAAACCTAGATCTCAATACCCTAGAAGCCTAGAAGAAGAAGTGGATAATAATAAAAAATCCACATTGATGAAAATCTATTTTCTTTATTATCTGTAGTCATTGTTTGTGTCTTGCGGCGTGCGTTCGTGTCGGAGAAAAATGTCGAATAAAAAGAGTAAAGAAATAGAAGTTCACGATAGTGAAAGTGAAGAAGAACAGCCATCCGGCGATGAAAAGGATCCAGACTTTGATTCCGATGGAAACTACATCGGTGATAAGGAGGTAAATCAAATTCATAACCCTAAAATCACATGGCATGCCGCCTCGAGGTTTTGTTTATTTTTATTACGAATATTTATTGAATTTAATTCTCATAACGTTATTTTACCCATTATATTTTATTCGTTCGATGTCAACATACCTTTCTTGGCATTGTCTTATTGATTTCACCTATTTTCTGTTTTCAAAATATTATGAAACTGAATTGCAATGCATTGCAACCTGAGGTATGTATTGATTGTACGTGTCAATATGTTGAATATTTTGTTCTGATTGTTTTAGGATTTGATGGCTGACTTTGAAGGTCGTAATCCTGAGGACTGCGACTTCCACGGCATTAAGCAGCTGCTGCGTCAATTGTTCCTCAAGGCTAATGTAGACTTGGGTGGCCTTGCACAAATCATTATCTGTGAGTATTTCTCAATATTGTAGCCCTACTAAAAGTTGGTTTGAAAAATAAACATTTTTTGTAAAGAACTTTTTTTAAGTTTATCATTGGTACTGAGTGCTCCCTCAGGATATTGTTTGCCTGACAAAATTTAAAACAGTGACACTGAGTAAAGAATAGGAACCTGGTATGTCAGCCTGTATGCCACTGCCAAAAGTAGATTTATTTCCTGTTATGATATAATTATGCAATAAAAAGTACTTTACTTTTAGCTACTTCCTCCTCCATCATAATATTAACTTAATATATTCATGTTCTAAACATAGGCTACTGAAATATTAGTTTCTTTCCTAGAAAAATAAAAATGATTTTATTCAGTACCATCACAATTTCCAAAAATATATTTGAACTTGTAACTTTTTTATTTCAGCTCAAAACTATGTGGGTAGTGTGGTGAAACAATGCCTCGATGATGGTCTCGATGACTTGGATGATGATGAGGATGATGGCAGCGATGGTGTGTTTGGTGTCACCACAATCATCAATATTACTAAGAGAAAAGTAAGTCTTTTTAATTAAAGTTCTGTTAAACTTTGCAACTTTCTTGTTGGTTGAAAAAACAATCAAGTGGTGGCAATGTGATAAAAATAATATTATCATATATTCTATATATCATGAATACAATTTTATGTTTATCAGGAATGTGCTGGTTTTTTATTATTGTTGTAAACCATAACTTTATCAGTAACTACCTACTTCCGCTGTTCCAGATCTATTAATCTTAGTGTTATATTGTGTAGTCTAAACTTATGCATTATAAATAAACCGTTTTACACAATAGTATTCAATTTGAAACAGTAGTTACAGAGTGCCTTTAACCTCTTGTCTGCCGGTATATGAGACACAATAGAAAACAGATTGTGTGTTCACGTATATCTATGCCCCGTATCCCTTGCGTATATCACGGATTAAAGAAACTCTTCAGCTTTATAATAACCCTAAATACTCTTTTGTTGATTGTTACATTGTTTTCTAGGAAGAACAGTGCATACAACAAATTAGAACACTGCTCACTACACTAGCAGACGAAAATGCAGATGATAAGACGAAAGCTCTTATCAAGAACATATTGTCAAATGATCAGCAACATGTGGGACTTGTCCTTAATGAAAGGTAATTATGAAAAAAAGAAACATTTTTATTTAAGTTTGAAAATGTTATAATTATAGCAACAGTGTTTTTAGAAAGTGATATTTGATCTGAAATTCAGGATGTAGCTATATAGAGGCTTGGCAGTAAAAAACAGCCAAAAAATATATTTAAATATTAATCTTAAAGAAACAATGAGTAGACAGATTACCTGACAGTAATCACTGCTGCCAATGGACAAAGTTACTACAAGTGCATTGCTGGCCTCTTGTGGGGTATCAGAGATTCAAGGATAGGGGATTTGAGGATTAGGTATAGGGGGGAGGTGGCATCTAGTAACTGACACGGCGAAACAGAAAGTAAGTTTTGCTTCTTATCACTCCAATCAAGCCAGTCCATTCGGGTCAAAGTGTGGCTCTCCCTCACTTTAAATCGTCAACAACAGCATTAAATATTATGCAAAACAATAAAGATCAAATATATTTTTTCCAGGATCCTTAACATTCCATCTGCGATCAGCGTGCCCTTATTTGCATCACTCCAAAGTGAGATAGAGAAAGCTGTACAGAAGAACATGCCCTACACATTCCAGTACATCATTTGGATCTGTAAAACTTACTATTCAGAAGGTATGTCACTGTTTTGTAAATATTGAACTGACTTACTAACAATATTGATGTTTGTATTAGCATTTTTGTTGTGTTCATTATGAAAGTTAGATATATTTTGCAAGATACAAGTTCACTCTAACTTGTTATATGTCTGTTTGTGAAGTAGAATTTTAATTCGATTCCTGATTTGACATGACCTATTGTCATTTTGTGAAATAATGATACCACATATAACAGTGTAGTGATGAACACAAAAATCGGTAAACAATCAGTGAATCAGTTTCAGAAAGGCATTCAAAAAATCACGGTTACCGAATGGTCTAAATGCGTATCCCATGTTGTCAAAGGAGAGGAAAAAATTAGTAAGCTAGATATTGACAATAAAAATCACAGACACAATTCATAATAAATGTTACAGAAAGTACCAGCGATAGCGATAGCAATGACGTCGACATTTTATAAAATTTGTTTTATTTGTCATGTACCTTCATGATCACATTTGTTATTAATTTCACACACAATTACAAAAGAAAAGTTACGTAGTACGGTTCAGAAATATTTTATTTCCTGATAAACTTAGTTTACGAGATTAAATTTATAAATGAGAGGAATCGATTCAGAAATATTCGATTTCCACATCGAATAATTTCGCAACGTCACTATTTATTACGTGGCATAACGTTGCAACACTGAAATTGTCAAATCTGGAATGGAATTAAAATTCCGGGTATAGATAGTAAATTTTAAGCAGATTGAATGTAAATGTTTTCACGTTTCCAAGACCATATTTGTATACTAAAAAGTCCCGGGTTTTATTAACCACCAAAAATCTTTTAAAAAGGTACTTATTTAGGATTAAAATTTTTGAATGATAAAAAGTTATAATCTTCCCGATGTTATGGTTATGGCGAAAAGAGCCACACATCTAGGTCCTCTCGCTTCCGGCTGTATTGTCTACTATGGTCGGGAGCGAGTCAGGGTGGAGTGCCGTCGCTATCTTTTGCGAGGCCGTGATGCTCGCAAAGGAGGCGGCGGAAAGGGAGAGAGAGGCTGCCTCCTCTCTTCCCTCCCGCAGCAGACGCACTAGACGTCGTAGAGTGGCCGACCTGCGGCCACCGTAGGGCGCGGCCTGCGGACGACAGACTCGGGGCGCAAAAAAAAAAACACATCTTGGTCAATTAGGAAACAAAGCTCGTGTTTTGTTTACGCTTCTCAAATATCTTTAGCCTGATATGGACTACGTCAGACTAATGATGTGTAAAAGGATTTGACAGAAATCAGCTTAGTTGACGATGACTAAATGCTACATGGACGGGATTGTTTATATTATCTATTACAAACAGTCTTTTACTGAGTTTTCATAATGAAAACTCGTAAGTTCTGAGCAGTCCATAATAGCAATAAAAGTGTATACAAAGAAAGCATTATGACGACAAGTATGATAACATAGGTTCATAAACTTTCGCTTTTGTTTCACGAGTTTGGCAGAAAACTAAATGGCGTCATCACCATTATATTTTATTCTTCTTTCGCTTCAATTACATGCCATTCATAGATTTGATCTTTGCCCTTTTGGGCAATGTCTTAAAAAAATTGAGCATAACGGTACTCCTATGGCGCGTGTATGTGAAAAATGTATTTTTTGACACGATTGACGCGGTGACTGGGCAATCGGCTGCCGTGTCTTGGATTTGATTCTCGCATTGTGTGATCCACATATTATTCCAGGTCTGTGTGTGATGTGTGTAATTAAAGTTTTGTAAACGGACCCACGACACGGGAGACAATAAAAATATGGGGGTTTAATATTAAAATAACGACCTCGTCGCGCGATATCGCGTAGCCAATAAGTCCCGTTGTGACTTCATACGTACGCGGTTTGTGTCCCGTTCCCATATGTCTCTTAAAACATTTCCATCTACGTTTACCTCTTGTTATAATGTACCATGTTTTTTTTACAGATGAACCTGGAGAAACATTGTACGCCAATATGGAAGAGTCTAGACTATCTGAAGAGGCCCTGGCTAGTTTTGACGTGAATGTCACTGACCAAACGGATCTGTCACAGTGGGACTACGAAGGAGGCACGCTCACACCATTCAGAAAAGTAAGAAATCTACCATTTTTTTATGTGATAGGTTACTGATGATAAGCAAACAGCGCCGCCCATCGACACCCGCAACAACAGTGAAGTCACGAGTGCGTTGCCGGCATTTGGAGATTTAGGCATTGGGGGAGGGGAAGGATTAGGCTTCCGGTAACCTCACTTACACGGCGAAACACAACGCTGTGGTTGTTTCATGCTGGTTTTCTGTGAGGCCGTGGTATCACTCCAGTCCTCCAGTCTTACGAAGTCCACAAAGCAAGGCTCTCACACCATTGGTGCTTGTTCAAATATATTACATATGATATGATTGTTCTTATCTGCTACACATAGTCACATTTATGTTACCAAAGTGACACGTAGAGAAAATAAGTGAAAAATCATTCTACAAAAATATCTCCTCATTTTTGACGGATTACAAGCATTTGGCAGAGTAAAATCTCGAATCGGACTATAAGCTTTTTGGAAAAATTGTCCTGTCTTGCCCCATATGGTAAATGGCTTGCTCCATGATAATATTACTGGTGAAATAGAATTAGATTAAAATTTAATTACTCCGTTACAGATCTTAATAATCGAGGGCAACAAATTCAACGGCTTAGTGAGACAAATGAAAGAAGAGGTGGAGCATGCGGTGGGTGAACAGAAGGCCAACTAAACGAACTGCAACAACTACTGTATAACCGTGCTTGTTGTAACGTGATTTTTATATATGCCATTACATTACGCTGTAAACGTATTTATATATTTTATAATTACATTGTAATTTTAGCTTAAGCTATGTTGTTGTTTCATTTATGATTCCTTTTTAAAACAATTCAAAGTGTGATATGTAGTACTTCACTCCCTGAGCCCATGGGTCCCAGCGTACTTCTCACGTATCGTTAGCAGGCTGATTACCGTAAAACGGGGTGATATTGGCGAATTTTCCTAGTATCTATTCCACGGAGTAAGAATAAAGAGGAGACGGCCTAAGCAACTCGGCCCTGTGACACAAGTCGGCCCTCACGTCATCAATGTGGGCGTGGCTTACGTCAGTGTAATGTGGTCGTTCGTCCTGTGCACAACTTCTATAAAATATTCATTTTACTCGTGACAAAAGAAAACAAAATGAAGTCTTGTGTTTTATCTTGTAAAAAATACTATGATAAACGTTACGGTGCTATGGATGGCATCACTTTTCATGTATAAGTTATTTTATTCGTCATTTATTAAAATAGTTCTACCAAAGTCTCTTATTGTCAGCGTTTCCAATTATCAATCTACGCGACACTAGATGTCGACACTTTGTATCATAGAAACAAAATTTTTATAGGTACGTATAGTTCAGTATTAGTATATTTTAATGATCGTTTGTATAGTAATTTGATCGACATGCATTCCTAAAGATCCTTTAATCGGCAAAATATTATTTATGTAACTTTTATATCATTTTATAAACAGACTGCCATCTATCGTCAAGTAGTAAAACATAAATAAAGACAGGGTAGTAATTAGGAGTCAATTACTTTTTAAGGTTTATATCGTTGATTTATTTAAGTCGCGAATGGAATCACTCAAATTTAGCGCACCTCACAGCACGCTGTGAGTGCTAAATCTTAGTGCCTAAGTGTTTGAAACTGAACTACCTTATTTATACTTCTAAAGTTCCTCTTCGGTTTTTATTTCAACCCCAAATTAAGGGCATTAGGACTTGGATCATACAACTCAGATTTGTATCGCCGGTAAGCCTATGAAATGCCCACAACATACTCTGTCCTTCACACATATCATTCGTACATATCATTCGTTCCATTGTTCGTTTATTTCGAAATATGTCGTCACATTCGGGCAGGTTTTGTTCGTTTTTCATGGTGAATAGTACCTATAACAGTCGTGAAGATAATTAGAATGTGTTATATATGAAGAATCTGGCGGTATTATTAACTTTGGAATAGCATTTAACATACCACTAGTTAATTAGATGTAATGTTCGTTATTGTTCCAAAATATTGTTGAGTTATTGTTTTGTGTTTTTATGATCCAAAATATTGTTGAGGTAAAACCAGCGAACACGTAATGCAAATTAAGACGATTACTGTTACATTATTAGAAGGTGGTAGGACCGCACACTCTTCATTAGCATTGCTATTGAATGTACAGGTGATTTAAAGTGCAAATTGTAATATTTCGAGAAATTCTGCTATGGCAAAAGTTTTGCAACTAACATCAATTATTTTATGGGATGCACACATACAATGGCGAATAAAAAATCAATAGAAGCATTTAATCGAACCATGCAAAATTTACGCGGTACTCAACAGGTTTTTCGTGGTGCTCTGATATTGCTGTCAGGGGGCTTTCGTCAAACATTGCCTGTCATTCCTCGATCAACTCCTGCTGATGAAAAACCTGTTTGAAGTCATCAGTTATTTGGAGATATATACGAAAATTGACACTGAACTTTAGTATTAATGCGTATTCAGCTACGTAATGTAATGATGCAACTGCCAAGAGTTTTCAAAACAATTATTAGAAACTAGCTTTTGCCCGCGACTTTGTTCGCGTGGAATAGTGAATTCCTGTAGATTTTGGGTTTAAAAACTATCCTATGTCCTTTCTCGAGTTCCAAACTATGTCTGTACCAAATTTCACTCAAATAGGTTCAGTAGTTTAGACGTGACGAAAAGACAGAACATATCTAATAATAACACTCGTTATCACAAAGAACCAGTTATCAGCAGGGCATCAGCCCTAGTAGCATTGTATACGAGTTTCTGCTTCAGGCTACGCCCGTAACGAAATAACCCCTTTTAAATGAAAAATATGGTTTTGATAAATGTAGAATGATTCTCATTCACCAATAATAGATATTTTAGATATTTATTACTATTTCGATAAAAAAAATGCGTATCAAGATGATTCGCAAATGTATTTACAAAAAACTTTTTAAAACAACTCCCCGGTAAATTCTAAGTACGACCCTGTTGCGTTAGTGACATCTATTGTGAAATAGTTACATAACTACAAAAAGAAGTAAATTGAATGAGCGAGTAGTATTGCTATAGACCGGCAGATGGCAAATACAAAAGTGGGCGGAGTCTAATACCCCCTCACCCCGCAAAATATCACGCGGTGTTTCTTAGGGAAATCTCATTATGACATCTCCTCTTTGTTCTTACTCCGTGATCTATTCACCCCATTTTACCATCGGCGTAGGTAACTAATATTGCTGACACATTTACCGTCTACATAACAACCTTGATAAGTGCTGTTGAGCTCAGAGAACAACCGGTTTATATACAGACTGGAGAGTCCAGGAGCTAAGGCCACCCTGTATCATTCCCCAATTCATCCTATATTTGCTCATCCGAAAACGAGCCTGCCCGCCTAAAACAGTTGATTTTGTCATTATGCTAATACAGTAGCATTGATATAATTCGCATCCACCCTCGTATCTCTAACAGCTTCTGCAACAGCAAGTCAAATGCCACTATATCAAAAGCTTTAGAGAGATCTAGGAAACACGCATTAACAAGCATTCTCATACAGAGAGAGAGCGTGTCATACTGTTTAATATTATACATATTGAACACTATGGCACTCTTTGTTGGAGGCCGAACTGCGCGTTATGCTAATCAAGACGAGTTGATATATTCCTAGCAAGAAAACTGTCCAAAACCTTAGCAATAAGGGTAGTACCTAAGTGTTGTGAGCGTATAGTTTCCTAGGTATGATGTGTCACCGATCACAACCTATACAACTATAGTTTTTATCCATAGATATCAGATAGAACAATGCCATCACCTTGGGTAGATTTAATGCATGGTCGTCATGCCCCGACGATTTCCACCTAAAATTTTTAAACTAAACATTTTAGGAGGAAGCGCCGATAAAATCTTTAGGAGTAGGTTTCGTTGAGAAACTGACGTCTCACTCCTCAGCATCGACCGGCTACGGTGCTGTACCTAGGGGGGATTCGACTTTAAAATATTCCGCAAACAAGTAAGCTATAGCGTAGATAGGTTCACGTTGCCCCTTGGATTTCGTTCATCGGTATTATAAAACTGGGGTTTATTATGATACGATACGTACTACCCCGTAAATTACAGTGTTTCTTACTGGTTGTTTATAAGTACTAAAAAAAGGTTATAAGTTGATTGTACACTACATAAATGGATTATATCGTACAAAAAAACACTGTTTGAATGATTATGAGCGCCTAATGTAGTTCTGAGCTAGTCGAGTAAATAAAATAGTCTTGTGAATAAATAAAACATCTTTTACCATAATCAAAACTTTTATTAGAGCCCAGATCTGTACAGATCTTGTCCAAACTATTTATTAGACTTAAACAATAAAGTTGCCTTACACAATAAAATTCTTTAAAAAAAACGTCACTTAAATCTAAAGAGAAACAAAACAAATTATAGAAAGCAAATTGATTCTTATTAATAAAGTTTACTGATTTATTCGAATACACGGTTGTAATCCTATATCCATAAACTATTCCTAAGTATTATTTCCATAGACCACTTTAGAAAGGTACAGAGCATCCTTCATCATGAAATCTCTTAAAGCGCATAATCCTTTTAAGATCTTGGAATTTTGGTCCATTTTCTGTATATCGGTCTCTGATAGGCTCTTGTCCTGTGCCAGGTATCCATTTATAGCTTCCTCAGTCATCCAGTGAGCTGGAACCTTATGCATGTTGAATTGTGCTGGATCTGGGTTGATTGGCATCGGTGTCAGAGATTTCTCCCACGGAGTTATGTACTTCTGTTCTGAGTGTAGACCTTCAATGTATCTGTAAAAAAAACGGTATTAGCTCTCTCTCTGTCTCTGTTCACGGTAGCGGGACAAACTCACATATGAGAATGATGTTTCAAACTTTAAACTCTATTAAAGAGAATACAATGCAAAAAATTAGCGAGGTATTGCGTTAATTACGAAAAAATCATTTAAATGTTATTTTTTTTTTGTATTTCTAACAGAAAACATTCACAAAAATAAATATAACTTTTATTAAGGTAAAAAAAATCGTTGTGCGAGAGTCATAACCTGACTTTACTCGATAAATTGGCAACATTACACACAAAGTATAATTTGGTGCAGTTTTAGTGCAGTACATTTCATGAACGTGAACATTTATTTATTGAAGTCTTACCTGATATAAGCCTCGGAATGCGTGAGTCTCTGCGCTCGAGGTGGCGCGGCTACAAACAGGGGGTCGAGCGGGGGCCGTGACCCCACGGCAGGGGGCGCCACCGTCAGTGTCGCCGAGCCTTCACCCGCGCCAGGGGACGGCGTGTTACGGGCCAGGGGAGACATGCCGGATAGAGAAGCTAAACAAAAAAATGTAATTTTTGTATAATAGCTAATTCGGTAGGTTTCCAACTTGTCAAAAACAATACTTTTATTCGAAATGTCAAAAACGATAATTTTGTATGAGATCCCGAAATATGACGTCATAATCTTTTTACGTCAAACAGCATATTTATTTTAACAAAATTAACAAGAAAAATCTTAAATTAAGTATATCGTCAAATCAATGAATGAAAGTATGGATATATTTTAATAATTCATTATATTGATAAGATAAAATAATTTATTTTTGTGTTAGGATACTGACCAATTAATTATCAAATCTGAAGGGGAATATTAGCCGTGGTGTTTCTCTTATAAAAAACATTGTTAGTTCTTACCTCCAGGCGACATGACACCACTGCGTACGTTGGTTGAGAACTGCTTCGCTGGCTTCTTAGAGGACGGCACGAAGTTTCTGAAAATAAAATAAAAATTAACAACCTCCAAATATAGGGTCAGTAATAAAACGCCTTAGTATTATTTTGTCATATTATTTTCCTTGCAATTTTTTCTTTTTTTCTCAAATTTAGTTAAATATGTTTTGTTTTTTCAACGATAAGTGCTTACATTTTTTTTATATCACGTCACATATTTTGTTTTTTATTTCGTGTGAGCAGATGTGTTTGTTACCCCAACAGTCAGGGGCCATCTGATACTGAGATGGACCCCTTGCTACACTATATATTTTTATTTTGTTTATGTTTTTTTTGTATGTTTTCAACTTATGCATGTGTAGCTAAAAAAATGGTTTAAAGTCAAGAAAACGAAAAGTAGAGTTCATTAGTAAAGCAGCTTCTAAGTTAATGCATAATTTATCTATATCTCAAGAGATTTAATGCATGTTAAATATAATCGAGTTCCTTAGTTATAAATCTCTTAAAGATATATTATTATCTTAGCATAACGCTCGGAGTGTACGTCTCGATACCCAAGGAGTGCTGTAAGCTTCACCATATCATACGGTACATCGCACATCGCCCTTATTGTACTTTATACGAATAGGGTACACCCCGTCCCCCTTTTTTATGATTTAAGTCGGCAAACGAGCAGACGGAATACCTGATGGAAAGCAATCGGCTCCGCAAATGGACACCCGCAACACTAAAGGAGTTACGAGTGCGTTGCCGCCTTTTGGGGATACGGGTTATGGTTATTTAGGAATGGGGGATGGGGGAGGGATTGAGCCTCCGGTAACCCCACTCACACGACGAAACACACCGATGTGGTTGTTTCACGCCGGTTTTCCCCTATCCGTAACTCCATTGGTATTACGAGTGTCCATGGGCGGCATCAGCTAATCCGCCTGCTCGTTTGCCGACCTATGACATAAACAAAAAAGTACTAACCTGGACCTCTCGTGGACAGCCATGAGTCTGCCGTTCCCTTTATTGACGTGTAGGTCTCTGACGTGTCGGAGTAGACGCGGCAGGTTGGGGAAGGGTGCCTGGCCCTTGCGCACGCGCGCGCAGTTCCGCCAGACACACGGGTACTCGGTTAGAGTACCGCGGTAGTGTTGCTGGACATGCCCCGCTGAGGAAGCGCATGTTGGAGGAATTTTAAGGTTAGATAATGTGTATTGGATTTTTTTTGTATTGGTTGACGTTCAGCTTTGTGTATTTTTTTTTGTTAGTTGTCTTAAATTATTAAATGGACTAAAAATACTTATGTTTACATATTCAACATAGTATTTTAATACTATATTATATATTTTTTACTTTGCTTCACATTAGGATATTCTCATGTGTCGTGGGTGCGTTTACAAACATACAATTTCACGTACACAACAATCAGACTCGGAACAACAATTTGTGGATCACATAAAGAGTTGTTCCGTGCGTGAATCGAACCCACGACACGCAATTTATTGATTTACTAGTCCATTTTTTTTACAAACTTAAATTACATAAAATAAATTTCTTAAAGTTACTGTATGTTTGCTTTATGTAGACATTCAACATGACATGTATTAATCAACAGTATAATGAAGAATATTATTTACAATGAACGCTTAATTAATGTTCGATTATGTCTCGAATACAACTAACGAAAGAAAATTCTATAAAACAACAAATGATCAAACAAAAGATTAATGTGTTCTGTATAAATAAAAAATAAATTGTATAAAACAAGTATATGTATATTCACTCGATTTTTCGAATGCTGTTCGATAAGATTCGTTGGTCGGGTACTAACCAGATGGCACCACTAACGCAGTAGCATTCGGTTGGTTACTGATCTGACCAATAGTAAATGTCTCTACATATACTGAATACTGTATAGAATTCAATATAGACAATTAATTTATATTTCTATACATATTTTAAAAATAATTTTATTTCTTATTGGCCAATTCCTTTGGCGGACTGTAGAACTACATATTTTGAACAGCAATAGAAAAACCGAGTAGGATTAGTATGCTTCTTAAAATCTACGTTACTTACGTTCTAATTTTGGTTTCTTGGTTTCGATAAATGTACCGATCACTAGCAGCATTAAAATAATGAGAAAACAATTTAGATATGAACTTTAAATACATTTTTTTTAAAATAGCAAAAAGCAGATAACGAATCCATAGACGAAAAGCTAATGGATCATTTTAATTTAAATATCGGTCATCGAACGGTTTCTTTTTTTAAAATTATTTGCCAGAAAAATAATGACCATATTGTGCGAAAAAATATTAACAGAAAGCGAGAAGGAAAAATCATAGTACATTAATTTTATCATGTCTCGTTCTTCTCCGAAAGAGTCTACAGTTTGGAATGAGCAAATAGCATTAAAAATGAACCTTCTACTTTTATTACTTCCAAAAGTGCTGTATCATTAACTTTATTCTCAACAAAAAAAATATTCAACCGATCGATTTTAGACCTTATCAGTACAATTTTAAGATCGGATTCGTTACCACTATACTACAAAAAACAATGCGGCTAGATACAAATTGGTACATATACCAGAAACACTTACTGTTACCTCCATCCCCGATGCAATGCTCCATGCAATCCGCAAGATCCTCGAACTGATAGTCGCATGTGTCCCAAGCACACTCATACGTCGTCTCCATTGGAGTCTGCAATACAGAACACAAATTATAAAGAAAAGCTACCAAGAAAAAACTACTAAATTGGTAGAATTATAAATAAGTTGGTAGTTTTTTTGGTTACAATTCATATTATTGGGTAAAGGCTAATATTTAGGGTAAATAAAAAAACCTGATATAGTAGAATCATAGAGACAGGGAGCATACAGGCTGAAATCCGTGCTAGAATGAAGGCCTGTGACACTCAATTTACTATAAATAATTAAAACTGAGACTAAGCATTTATTTTATGAAACTTGCAATAGCTTGATTAGAGCTTTTCTTTAATAAAAAGAGACAAAATCTACGAGTTTGATTCATACTACTTCTCATGAATAAGAGTCTCGTTGTGACTCGAAACTAGTCGGTCTTTTCTCGAACAGTTATTACCAATAACTAAACCTTAAAATACAATGAATTTTGAATCTCTCACGATGATTATAATAAAACAATAATAATATGAGTATCACAGTCCTTCGAATCGCTACATGAACTAACGTGTTGCGCGAGTTCCCGCATCTCCTCAGCCAATCGCGCCGAGGTCTCCTCGTTGCAGCGCGCCGCCCTCTCCTCCCAGCTCTGCTTGGTGGACGCCGGCAGGGACCTCCACTCGTTGCCCACAATCCTCGAGATCTCTCCTACACAAACACACTACGTCTAAACACGTACCTTCGCATTACACCGGGATAACTTTCGCGGTGTGTCTCTCTCTGCTCCCGTGTGTGCGTGAATTCAAAGAGAATTGTACTGGGTTTACTAGCTGTGTACTCGTATTGCGGTTATCGTTGTATACCATTTTTAATGCAGTTGTCGAGTTCTTTTATCCTTTTGACCGCTACAGTCATGTGAATTTCGATAGACAACAAAGCATAATGTGATTTCTTTTCGTATAAAAATGCTTAACAGTTTTTTTTTATTACATTAAAAGCTCACTGCACATTTAAGTCAAAATAAATATAATAATTACGATACTTTGACGTTTTTTAAATTTATAATATAAAGTCTGTACTGTTCATCTACACTTACCATGGACAATATTCAATCACCATCCATGCTTTTTCTTTTTTGCTGTAGGAAGAGGCGACAAAAAACAATAGTAACTTTTGACAGAGACGAACAGCTGCCTGCCAACTTTGAAATTATACCAAAAATAATCTAATACTGGCAGGTTGTAAATCACATTAAATGTGGCGGTCAACAGGTTGAAGAAAAAAAACTTTGCTTAACTTAACTTCCATACTACTTTGCTACAAGTCTGTGATCAGACTAGGACTGCAAGGGTTATAAGAAGCCGTTTTAGTATTTTTATGCATATACTGTATAATATATTTTTGTTCATGCACAACATACTGTATAAGTACTATGCACAACATACTGTGTAAGTTAATACTTTTTATATCGATTTAACACAGCAAAGAGAGACTTTAGCATAAAGTTTATAGTTTATATTACCTTGTACACAACAATAACTGCATTATTTTTTATTAGAGATATAGCCGTGCATGGTATATGAATAAGCGATCTAATTGAGTAGTGGAAACGATACCTACCCAATTTCAAAGATTTGTCCTTGCTAGCTAAATTTACATATAGGTGGCGTTAGGATCATATACATTAAGGATGACATAAAGCTGTGTATACACGCGTACATAAAGATGATTAAAAAGACCATTGTTCAATTCTTATAAAAAGGTGAATGACACTTTGACATTGACAGTTTTGTTTTTTAGTCGCCATCTTGAATGGACCATAGAGTTGCAGAGATAAGTAAAAAGTATGGTAATAAATTTATATATACTATCTGTGAGGTAAGAATTCAACAATGGAAGAAATTAGTGCTTGTTACAAGCAAATTACATAGTTAATGTATACACAGATAGAGAGACAGATGAGTTATTTATAGCGGCGGCGATTGTGGGTTTTAGAAATGATTGGAAACTTTTAATTACTCTTTAAATCTTTTACGCACAGAATGAAATTGTTTTAAATATTGATGCAATTTTGTAATTACGTATATCAGAAAGGAGAAGAAATTTGGTCAAAAGAATTAAATGAAACATTCCTAGGTATATTTTGTATTCGTAAATCTCAGTAGTAGCACTCAATCATAGATTGAAATTCATATGACAACAATACTTGAACAAAAATAACCTTAATTTCAAAGTAATTAAGAGCTACTATTGAGTTTTACGAGAATCAAGCACGTAGGAACACATTTCCTACCTAGCACTGAATTATGAAACCTAGCTCTTAAATATTAAGTCTTAAATTTGAAAACGCCATAAGAATATCAAAAGAACTAACAAAGCTCCTATATTATATTAATGAATAACTTTTATTTATTATAACTCTGCTGTACGTGCGTATGTCATTGAACTCCTACGAAACGGCTTGACAAATTTAAATGACTTTTCTGTATGCGTTTGAGTGGTTGGTTGGTTTAGATTCACAAATCAGCCCGGCAGATGGCGCTGATTGATTGACAAAGCATCTGATCTCTTGATTTGTGGGGGTTTTATATATATCAGAGAGGGTCCGCTAGTATATGTATTTAAAAAGAACTTACCAAAGGTAGACTCGGGGTTGTTGGCAACGATTGCTCGTCTGACCTCGCTGGAGTATAGAATGTATCCGGTAACTATCTTCTGTTTGTTGTCCTTCTTCTTCTTACTACTAGCCGGGGTAGCAGTGCTGTTGGATCGCTCCTGTGTTGGTGTCGCCGTCATTGATGGATTATATGGGTTGCTGTTACCACCTGAAATAATTTTGTTATTGTAGTTTTTTTATGGAATCATCTGATGATGGTAAGTGATCAGCACCACCCATGGACGTCCGCAACAAAGGGGGAGTTAGGATTGCGTTGCTGACTTTTTGGGGATTAGGGATTTGGAGATTCAAAGTCAAAGTCATTTATTCCAACTAAACCATAAATAGGTACTTTTGAAACGTCAAAATGGAAAAGTAGTCTGTCAGTTTGTTCGTCAGTAAAGCTAGGTGCTCATTCCAAATTGTAGATTCGAATGGAGAAGAACGAGCAAGAAACTCCATCGTTACTCTTTAAAAAAAATGTTTTACAATTTCAATAATAAGAGACTTTGGGATAGGAGGAAAAGAAGGATTCGGCTTCCAGTAACCTTACGCAGACCGCGAAACACAACGCTGTGGTTGTTTCACGCCGGTTTTCTGTGAGGCCGTCGTATCACTCTGGTAGAGCCAACCCATGTTATAAAAACGGTATAAATTACCTATGGACAGCGGTGTGGCGGGCGACGCAAGTGAGGAGTCATCGAGGGAGTTCTCCAGTATCATCTCGACGTCCTGACTGCCTATTGTGGTGTTAATCAGGTTTGTGAACTGAGGCTTCACGTCCTGTAATGGAATAAAACATTTGTACATACATACATACTTACACCTTTATTCCCTGAAGGAATAGCTTTTTTTGTGAGGGGAAAATCATCAAATGACTTCTCCAGGGACGGGCGGGAGGGAGTGTTGACTCTTACTGACTAAAACCCTCCACGGTGCCTCATTGCGCTTACCCCGCAACTCCGGCTGAACATCCACACTATAGGGCCCCGTTTGTGGTAGTCTATTGGCTCTGTAAGGCGCGCGCGGAACGCTACGCGCCGTACGTACGGGTGAAGTGACAGCTTAAGGTCTATACTTATTTCAGATTTATAAACACCAATTATCTATACTAATATATAACAAAGCTGTAGAGTTTGATTGTTTCTTTGACCGCGCTAATCTCTGGAACTACTGGTTCGAATTGAAAAATTCCTTTTGTGCTTGTTAGTACATTTATTGGGGAAGGCTATATATGTTGCAAAACATCACGCTACGATATGTAGGCGCCGAGCAGAGGGTGAAACCGCGGGACAGTAGCTAGTTCCTTATAAGCGCTAATGTTGTAAAATTTTTAAGTATGGATTTGAACCATTAGCACCATTCCGAACGCCGTGGTACGCCGAAGAGACGGGGAGATTTTTAGTCAGTAAGAGTCTGACACCAAAAAGGATAATTTTTTTCTCTCATAAAAGAAAAAAAAAAGGGTACGAATTTAAGTTTTACAGACATAAAAAATACAATAACTATTTTCCGTCCGGAGAACGGTAATTATGTATTCTTTTTTGTGCGCTATGTACATTTGAAAATTTACATTCGCGTCACACGCAAAATGGTGCAGTCACTTCACTTTCTATAAAAAACAAACTTACGATGGAGTCCATGGAGTTGGTGTTCGGGTTGAACTGCTTCTGTGTGAAGGCGCTGGACGTGGACTGTACCTCCTGGGGAGTCGCCAGGGCGGGGGGACCCAGCGGCTTCGGGAAGAAGTAAATCTGCAAACAAACAACAGATTAATACAAACTGTCTTGCCATGCTTGTTTAATGAAATTCACAGTACCCAAATCCCCATTTGTAACAACTGGCAAATACCTCTTGTAATTTTTCCATGCTTTGTAATTTTGCGGCGCCGATTCCTCATCGGATGATCTTTCTGCTCGTTTGCCGAAATGTTCGATATAATTTTTGTTCCAATCTGCTTAACAAGTTTTTTCGTAATCGACAGACGTTACGACAGTCGATTTTCTCTACCGTTATTAAGCAAAACGAATTTCACACAAATCAAGGAACAACTTGTATGTGAACAATCACGTTCTGATAAAGGCTAGTTAGTTATTATTTATGTGATGTAGCGGCAAACCAGATGAATTACCTGATGAAAGAATAGGCGCCTTCTTAGGACGGCCGCAACACCAGAGGAGTTCGGAGTGCGACGCCGAACTTTTGGAATTAGGATTTCGGATATTTAGGGATAGGAGAGGGGAAGGACCACCAGTCCCTTTAGTTTCGGACGGTGGCATTAAATACAAGATGCATGCTTCATACACTTACTTGTTGGTGCACTAGTAGTCGATTAAGGGCTGTGTATTTTTCAATAGTCAGATAAATTTTATCTGAGGAATAAAGTTGTTGCTGTCACTGTCTTATACAAACATTCTGACGCGACAGCATCATAATTATTCTCCAGGTTAGATACCAGATAGGTTTTATCTAACTAAAAATAAGGCCCAAATCATATAATCAAACACCTAAAAGTATTCCATCTACACAAAATACGTGTAAAATCTGCGTTTTCATACCTCATCGATGGTGACATCCTTGGTATGTTCAAACTTGCGCAGTCCCGCCTTGAGTTTGCGCGCGACGCGGTTAGACTCGTCATAAACCGACTCACACACATACACGTCGCTCTCCGATATCTCCGTCGGACGACCTGTGGAAAATATACATAATCATATATTACTTAAATAACTAACTACATATACCTACTAGTAGCTGAAATGGGTAATTTTCATAGTCAAAACAAAATTGTTTCGAATTTTTAATGCAATAATATACCTATTCAAATATTTCACACTTTCATTCATAGACTTTACGAAAAACAACAATTATGAGATTCCTTGGTAAATCTTATAATAAAGATTCATAATGACATTGTGTGTGTTAACACATCTCGTACCAAAGAAAAATTGTCACGTCGTATTTGACAAATAAATAAATATTAAAGAATAATAAATATTTCACAATCTCATTTACTGTGCATTGTATCCCAATTGCAAAATCTTATAGCAAAATATTTTCCTAATTCTCCATATATGTATTATGTGAAAGTGATTATCTCCAAAGATTAACTAGAATTTAAAACTGCAGATTAACTTATGAGCATGAAAATAAATCATTTACAAGAACTTAATTCGTGTAAAAGATTTTTTTTTCATCTTTCTGTCTTTTGAACAGAAAATTCTCTCAAACATACCAGCCAGACAGACAGAGACATAACATAATTATTAAACAAAAATCCATACTTACACTTAAGATAATCGTCATAATCGAGCACGGAGCACTTCCCAACAATGCCCACAAGTGGACTAGTATCGTGCATCGTAGTGAGCAACACTTCTTGCTTGTAGAATGGCTGGAAATCAAACATACTCTTCAGTTAATGATAAAATTTATTGGATCATGAAAAACTATTGATAAGTTGTGTGTGATACATATGTTTTCTTTCTAACCTTGTTTATAATATTCGCCACCTCCGACGGGAAGATCAGGAACGGACCGCGGAAGTAACATTTGTTGCTGTGGACAAAAATATGTTATTTATAAGTGCTTCTTCAATGGTGGGATCAATTCTTACTATGTTTGCAGTATGTAAGTAATTTAATACCAACAATATTTTTATTGAATCGCTTGAGAGCAGTCATACGATGTTATTTTTCAAAACCAATATTTGTGTTCTAACTAGCAGAATAGTTAATTTTCGGTTGAGGAAATATTACATCGTCAATTTTTGCTTAATTTACGCGAAGAATCACCCCATTACGTGACACTGTTAGCATTGTTAAATCTTAGATGTTTGGTATCCATAGGCGGCGATTACTTCGGATCACTAATTCCTTCGGTGTATACTAAAGATTATTTATTGTTAATATTGTAGTGGGAGAGTCATGCTTCGGCACGAACGGGCCGGCTCGACCGGAGTAATATCACAGCCTCAAAGAAAACCCGCGTTAAGCAATGCATTCGTTGTCCTTCGTCGTATGAGTGAGGTTACCGGAGGCCCAATCTTCCCATCCCATATCTGTAAATCCTTAACAACCGACGAGAGGCCGGCAACGCACTCGTAGTTACTCCTTTGGTATTGCAAGTGTCCATGGGCGTCAACGATCGCTCACCATCAGGTAATCCGTCAGCTCATTTGCCGACCTATGACATATAAAAACAATATTATACTCACTCTCCAGTCTCCCAAATAGTGTCGACTTGCGCGATCATCTGCTTCCCTCCGTCGGTAACGACGTATACATAGTCTCCGGTCTTGATAACGCCGGAGCACACCGTGTTGTACTGCTCGTAGTAAGTGTTCTCGTCATCCGTACCCAACGGATTGTACATCACTACGTCCTACGGAATAAGGTTTAGATTGCTATGACAATTCCGTTTAGGTAAATAGGGGTACTATAAAATAAAAAAATGAATCTAGCCCGTTGGTAAATAAAAATTAAAACTAGATCAACAAAGTTTAGGCATAGAGGTCGGCTACGTCAATTGGGTGCTTGAATCAGACAATCAGTTATAAATGAATTATTTACACTTTCATTAGTTATTCACACAAAATATAACAGATTTAAATACGATACATAATTAGTGAAAGGAAAAAAAGGGAAGGAATGGTACTGCATTCTATACTCCTTAAGAATATGCAGTAGTATATAATATGCTACTGCATATTCTTAAAGTTATTTCTTCCTGCAGACCTAAGGCAGGAGAATTTTAAAACACAAGACAATGTGCAGACCCAAAACAAAATGAACAGAAGAAAGCTTAAACTGAATTAACTAATATTATTAATATACAAAACTAAACAATAAAAAAATCGAAACCAAATAAGTTTAATCACATAAAAACACAAATATGTATATATTTGTGTTTATATAATATAACTATAATAATAAAATATATTTATAACTTTTATAAATCATAAATATATATCTATATCAATAATTAATAACTATGCAGTTCGAACCAATAAAAAAGACGTCACAATGAACCGTACTTAAAAAAAAGTCGCTATACTTACAATGGAAAAACGACTTCACAGAACTATAGTAATAATAGTTGTCAAGTGCCCAATTGTGTGTTACTTTTTGTTGAGGGGGTTAAAATGACTTCTCTTGTAATAAACTAAAGACCTCCACGTTCCTTCTAAAGAGAAGGAACTAGGCCTTATGCCTCGGCATTGTTCGTGACTTGCATAAATAATATGTACATTTCGTATGATCATGTTCAAGTGGCGTCAAGCTATATATAATAATATTTCATGACAGTAAAAAGTTCATAGAAGTGCAAAAAATATATAAAATTACAAATTACAGAGGATTGAGGATACTGGTTGATTGTGTTGTGACCACGGAGTAAGAACAAAGAGGAGATGTCATAACTAGATTTCTCTAAGAAACACCGCGTGATATTTTGCGGGGTGAGGGGGTATTAGACTCCGCCCACTTTTTTATTTGCCATCTGCCGGTCTATAGCAAAACTACTTGCTCGTTCAAATTAATTCGTTTTGTAGTTATGTAACTATTTCGCAATAGATGTCACTAAATGCATAATGCATCAGGGCCGTACTCAGAATTACCGGGGAGTTGTAGTTTTTAATACTATATAATATTATTGGTGAATGAGGACCATTATACATTCATCAAAACCATTTTATTGTAACATCTTTTTGTTTTATAAGGGGAGAAACTCGTATACTATGGCTACCAACAGGCTGATGCCTTACTGATAGCTGGCTATTTGCACGGATTTCGTACATTATATTATTATTTTTCACATTGTCTGGACTTGAAAAGAGGCGGACTTCTGAGTTTGTTTCGGTATTTTCTCAGAGTAGTCAGATAGGAAATGCCGGCTTCGTCTAGTTTTTTACATACCTATATGTAAATGGCCTATTTGCAAAAAATAAATTCATTGTTTTATTGTGATGACGAGTGTGTGGACTATATTAATGTGTAATTTGGAAATATGCGTTTAGACTGGTGCCATCTTCAAACATACCGATTCAGGAATGCGTCGACGAAATATAATACTTCAAGTTTATCTTCATAGGTCTTGAATGGACAAGGCCATTTATTACTTTACGCTACGTATAAGTACATGATAAAAAAAAATTAAGTTCATTTATTAAAACAAAAAAAAATAATTTTAAAATGAGCCAAATGGTATATTGTTTATGTTAGTTGAATACGCGTAATTATTAATTTTCAGTGTGAATTTTCGTACATATCTCCTAGAACTAATGACTTCAAACAGGTTTCCATCAGCAGGAGTTGATCGAGGAATGACAAGCAATGTTTGATGAAAGCCCCCTCACAGCAATGTCAGAGCACCACCAAAAAGCAGTCGAGTACCGCGTAGATTTTACATTATCCGATTAATTGCCTCTATTGACTTTTTTTTGTCGCGATTGTGCAATCAAACCATAAAATAATTGACGTTAGCCGCAGAACTTTTGGATTTCAATCACCTGTACATTTAATGGCAATGTTAATGCAGATTGTACGGTCCTACCACCTTTTTATAATGTAGCAGCAATTGTCTTAATATTGCCACTTGATTTGCATCATGCGTTCGCCGGCCTACGTTTGGTCCCCTTGCTCGGAAATTTACCTTCACTCAACAACACAACAATATTTTGGAAAATATAAAAACAAAACAATAACTCAACAATATTTTGGAACAATAATGTTTTTCTGTTTGTTTTACTACTTGACAATAGATGGCTGGCTATTTGTAAAATGATATAAACGTTACATAAATAATATTTTGGTGATTGAGGGATCTTTAGGAGTGTATGTCGAGCAAATTACTGTACAAATAATCATTAAAATATATTAATACTGAACTATGTACCTATAAAAAATTAGTTCCTATGATACAAAATGTCGCCATCTAGTGTCGCGTAGATTGATAATTGGAAACGCTGACAACAAGAGGCTTTGCTAGAACTATTTTAATAAATTTCGAATAAAATGAGTTCCACATGAGAAGTGATGCCATCCATAGTACCGTAACATTTATCATGGTAGTTTTTACAAGATAAAACACAAGACTTCATTTTGTTTTCTTCTGTCACGATTAAAACGAATACTTTATCGGAGTTGTGCACAGGACGAACGACCACATTACACTGACGTAAGCCACGCCCACCTTGATGACGTGAGGGCCGACTTGTGTCACAGGGCCGAGTTGTTTAGGCCGTCTCCTCTTTGTTCTTACTCCGTGGTTGTGACCCGTCATAGAAGAGGTTTAAGTTAAGGTAAAGAAAGGCTAATGATAGTAATAAAAGTGCGAGAAAGTACTTGTTCATTTAATCTATTAATGCCCGGTATCCGAAAGCCCGATCAATGTTAAAATCAACTAACTAGGTGTCAAATCTCTTGTCAAGTCACCTGATTGGTTGTTGATAATTCACGCCCGGTTTCTGAAAGGCTTGTCAACACTAAAATTAACTAATCTCCTGTTAAATCTCTTGTCAAGTCATCTGATTGGTTGTTGGTAATTCAGTCAACCAATCAGATGACCTGACAAGAGATTAAATTGATTTTAACATTGATCAGCCTTTCGGAAACCGGGCGTCAGTCAACCTATTAGATGACTTGACAAGAGATTTAAATTGATTTTAACATTGATCGGCCTTTCGGAAACCCGGTGTAAGTAATATTAAAATTATAAATATAAAATAAATTAAATTTTGCAGAAAAAATTTTAACATATCGCGGTATAGATTTGATTTTAGAGAAATGTATGAAGAGGCATATCATATTAGTAAAATGTTAACTACTAGAGGACCTGTTTCACAGCGTGTGATAGCCTCTATCTATCAGATAAATTTTGATGTTGATTGTAGAACTACGTGCCATTTAAGTTTATAGGGCACTTATATGAAGTTCGAAAAACAGGGCCTTAATAAAATTGGCTATTTGACCGATGTAAATATACTATAAAAAAGAGAAAAAACCGTTCTAACATCATTTCTTCGATACACGTCTCAGCTAGCGTTTTTTAAATCAATAACGTGTTGTGAAGGAAAATAACATACAAGTATTTGAAGCAAAACGTTCAAATAGCCAATTGTGTTCTGTATACATGCTTTTATGCTGTTTAAAAAAGGAGGTTATAATTTTAAATAAAAGTTAAAGCATAGAACTGTACTCACACTGGAATTCTGTGATATTCCAATAGTGATGAGAACAAATACAATACAAAAAATTAATACTGTAGTAGAACAATAGTAGTAGAATTAACAAGTTACGCTAAAGTAGGGAACTAACCAATTTAATGTTCCATACAAACTTAAAAACAGTTTTGATAAAGATTTTTTCCAATATGTTCATAAAATATTTACACCTTGATACAATACCGCCAACGTATCTTGGCGAGTCTGAACTTAGCCGATTAGCTGCGCAGTACACAATTTTGTTCCTAAAAGATCCATTGCGCAGACAAACGGCTCACTTCAGACTCGCCAAGATACGTCGGCCGTACTGTATATTTCATATGAGAACAAAGTTTATTTAAGATGGGTTTAGTAGTTTCCATGATTTTTTATTATCGAAATCGAATAATTTGAATTTGGATAATCATATATTGAATGGCTCCGAGCTCTTTGACCTACAACACACAGTTCAGACACTCTTTGTGACTGAAAATCCAAAGTCTCTGGCTGACTAGAATTTGCATAAAACTAATACTAAAAATTGACCTTATTCTACCGATTTTAGATTATAATTATATTTATACCGAGTATTATTTTCAGATATGGCGTATGTACGAGATAGTGTAAAGATATAACGTCAATATGTATACACCATGTGCCACGTCAATTTTTCAGATACTTATATGAAGGTTTTTTTTTTTTTTGTGAGGGGAAAATCATCAAATGACTTCTCCCGCCCAGGGCCGGGCGGGAGTGAGTGTCAGACTCTTACTGACTAAAAACCCCCCTGTTCCTTTTCCTGCTCTGTGCCGAGGTCGCGGTACCTCATTGCGCTTACCCCGCAACCCCGGCTACTTATATGAAGGTGATAAAACATGGTATATAACTCACCGGCCGCTCTTTCTCATGTACATTCTCGAGGACCTCCAGCTCGGCCAGCTCGTCCTTGTGCTTCTCCACGCGCTCACGGAACACGGATACGGTTCTATTGGGCTCTAATGGAACCTAGATGGGGAAGATAATATATTGTATGGCATATAATTTATTTATTTCGTCGACTTCATCCGCGTCAAATAGTGACTTCTGACAGATTTAAACAAAACAAATACTAAATGTTAATCCCAGCAACGAATAGTGAAAACCGCATTCAAAAAGATTAAGCCGTTTTCGAGATTAGCTAGAACAAAAGTACAGACAAACAGACAAAGAGGTAAAATTTTTCATGTACAGACACTCGTTTGTCAAGTGATCATAAGTGGTTGTGGGTATGGAAATATGTAATTGGGGTTTTACACTAGATATAATATTTTATGGTAAGTTTATAAAAATACTTGAAACTAAAAATAATATGGGCTGTGGCTAATAGCAAATTGGTGACCCGACGAAGAACAATCAACATGACTCATTCACCCTGCAAATCAAGCAGCAGCCAACAAGAAGCCTTGGAGATATCAGCCGGAACCGGAATTTTGGAGGGACCAACCCAGATTATGGTTTAAGCAACTAGAAGCCATAGTAGCACCACAGAAGCAAGGAGACGATTACAAGTACTATACGGTCATTGCAAAACTGCCAAAAGAAGAAATAATACAGGTTAGTGACCTCATTACTTGCCCACCGCCAATAGAAAAGTACAAGGCTATCAAAGAACGCCTAATCAGTTGCTATGAGGAATCAGACCAACGTCAGCTCCAAAAATTATTGTCTGAAATGGATCTCGGCGACCAGAAACCATCACATCTTCTGCGCAAGATGCGGACCCTGAGTAACGGAAATATCAGCGACGAAACCATCAAACTTCTATGAAACAGGGAAACTTCTATGGTTGAGGCTTCTGCCACCATCAGTGACTTCGGTTCTAGCAGTCACAGAAGACATAGATGTGAACAAGATGAGCCAGATCGCGGACAAGATATTAATAAATTCAACACGTACAGAGGTGTCAGCTGTAAACGGAAACAAATCTGGCGACGATACAATGTCATGCATACTAGCACAGTTAGCAGAAATGCAATTGGAACTAAATGCAATTCAGCAAGGTCAAAAAAACTATCGACGCAGCACTCAAAGTTATTCCAATCGTCGGCATTTCCTACCACAGTCAAGTTCAAGAGAAAGAAGGCACTTTTGTTTTTACCATGGAAGATTTAAAAAATATGCACAAAAGTGTGTTCAACCTTGTGATTGGAAACAGGATCTCAACTCAAGGAAACAGGGAAACTAATTGAAGCACGGACAACGGCGGAACTCTGTGCTATTCACCCGTCCAACCGCCTCACTATTACCGACCGAAAAAGTGGTATGAGATTTTTGATTGACACGGGAGCAAATATTTCAGTTATTAGCAAGCCACAGAGACATTCACTAATACAAGATGAACAATGTATACTTTATGCCGCCAATGGTACAAAAATTAAGACATATGGTGAAAAAACACTCTCTTTAAACTTCGGGCTACGAAGAAACTTTGTATGGAACTTTGTCATCGCCGATGTAACACAACCGATTATTGGAGCAGATTTTTTTAGAGCATTATAAGCTATTAGTCGATATAGCTGGTCGAAAACTCATAGATAGGGTAACTGAGCTGACAACGCCCGCAACCCTGATCAAATCGACGCAGCAAACAATCCGCACTATTAACATTGAGACGAATCCACGCATTACTCAACTATTAAATGAATACGAGGATATTACGAAACCAGCCTCCCTCCACACTACTCCAAAACACAAGATTAAGCATCATATTATCACTAAAGGACCAAGGAAAATATAAGGAACGCAGTATTAACAGTTCACCCCTCTCGCACCGCCCCTTTGGCACTTATGACGGACGCCAGTTCGACCTGTGTTGGCGCAGTTCTGCAGCAGAAGTCAGGACGTAATTGGGAACCATTAGGATTCTTTTCAAAGAAATTAAGTGATACTCAACAAAAATACTCGACATTCGACAGAGAGTTGCTCGGAATATATATGGCAGTCAAACATTTTCAAAGGTTAGTCGAAGGAAGAGAATTTACTATCTTTACAGATCATCGACCTTTGACTTACGCATTTTCCCAAAAACCGTCATCTAATGATACGCCACGGCGAATACGACAACTGGATTTTATTTCACAATATTGTACCAACATTCAACATATAGAAGGACGTGACAATATTGTAGCAGACGCATTGTCACGGATAGAACAAATTGATGTGCCATCACCGATTAATTATGCTGATTTAGCAAGATGTCAGCATGATGACCAAGAATTATTACGACTTCGTAATAACAAGAATTTAAAATTTTCAATCAGCAGAAACAATCAGCACAAATGCAGTGGATAGTTCATCGACTGCCGCCGCCGTCACAACAAAGGCAGCAGTTTTTATTTCCTTCGAATTAGCAACAATGACATTACATTACGCATAGGATGTAATTTATCAGCAAGGTTAAGTTATTATATAATTAGGTACATACTAATTTTTTTTCAATTTATATGTTAATTATTTTTAAAAGGGGGGAGTATATGTAGCGGCACGATCACGTCGCTACATTACTTAGATACGATAGAGATAAGACACACATGTTAATTGTTGCACGTTTGTTAGGATAGCTAAATCTGAAAATCTCACGCATCTTCTTAGTATATAAGCACCAACAATTAAAGTAATAAACAGACCTTAACCATCTACAGTCTCATTATTTACCTTGCCACGAAGTCTGGCAAATTGGTATGGCTATGAAATAGATGACTATTTGGGATTTTGTAAAATGAGAGACCGGTGATTTTAATAGTTTGAAAATACCGAATTACATTATAGAACTAACAGAGAAAATCTCTGCTAGTTTTAACTAAAGTCACAACGGGACCTTATAATGTAATAAATATAAAAAATTGCTTACTTCTCTTGGTGTCAGTGTGACTTCCTTCTCCGCTCCCTCCCACACTTTGATCTTCTTGAACCAGCGCAACTTGGTGTTGTACCGACTCTCACATACGTACACATCTTTGTCAGCGAATCCTGGTAAAATACACCTTAATGAGTTATTTATTTATTTAACACTTTATGTACATACAAAATAATATATACAAAGGCGGACTCGCTTCGAAACAAGATCTTGGCAAATTTCATCTTTTGCTTGTCTTTGATTCCGCTAGGAACATACGTACACACTCATATTGCCAAATAACATTAACTTAAACTATTTAATGAAACAAAAAAATGTTTTAGTTTGTGCTTAAGAAGTTAACAAATAGGTATGAAGGTATACCTTCAGGTTTAAACTTGAAGTACTCCTTGACATTCATGACGTAGCAGTGGCCGACGACCTGGTCGAGCGGCACGACGCGGTGCGCCTCCGTCTTGAACACCTCCTGCTGCAGGAACTTGCGCGTGCGCACGTGGAACGTTTCGTGAGGTCTGTGAACAAGACCAAGGGGAGTGGATTATTTGGTTTCATTACCAAAATAGAACAACCTGCGCCACAACCTCTCAAAACCTAATTAAGTTTTTTGTTTTAGATAAGTAAAATAAAATTTGATTTAATTTTAAGAATACTATCTGTCATTCATCATATCATCCATAAACATAAGGTGAAGATATAAGAGATTGACCTTACATTTATACTAACTTATAAAGCAGAGTTAGTTTGTTTGGACGCGTTTTTCTCCGAAAATACTGGTTCGAATTGAACAATTATTTTTATGTTGGATGGACCATTTTATTGAGGAGGCCCAAAGACTATAAAACAACACGCTACGACCAATAAGAGATTGGTTTCCTGCTTATATATAAATGTGAAAGTTTGTGAGAATATTTGTTTTTCTATCGCGCAAAAACGGTGTTGAGGTTTATAACATCAAATAAACCAACTAACGCCATCTGTATCCAACATATAAACTATTGTTGTCGCTGTCTATGTAAAACATAGATCTTTTTCTACCATCACACCAGTTTTGCAAAATAGTCGTTCTTTATTTACTCCAGAAAATTATAATAAACGGCTCGACCGATTTGGCTGAAATTTAGTATGTTAGATTGGTGTTTTTATCACCATATCACGCGGGTGGGAGCTATTAAAAATATACTATAACCAACCTGTAATACACGATGCAGTACATGCAAGGCACGCCTTCATTGTTAGTCCAGACGCGTTCGACCTGCACTATGCTCGGCTCCTTGTTCCCTTTGTCCGGCTGCACGTATACAAAGTCTCCCTTGCGGTACGCCGTCATCAGGAGCGGGGCACCGCCCGATGGCATCGAGTCGTCTGTACTTGACCTTGGAATAAAGAAGAAAAAATACATTTTTTTAAACGACTTACGCGTGTGAATTTGCTGAGGAAACCTCTACTTGTTTCAAGTCACAACAGGACTCTTTACTTTTGAATAGACGCTGTCGTGAGACATACAAAATTTGAGTTAAATAACGACTAATGCACATGAATAAGTCGTTTAAGTGTGGGAGAGCCATGCTTTGGCACGAATGGGTCGGCTCAACTGGAGTGATGCCACGGCCTCACAGAAAACCGGCGTGAAACAACCACAGCGTTGTGTTTCACCGTGTGAGTGAGATTACCGAAGGCCCAATCCTTCCCCTCACCCGATCCCTCTCCACTCCCTAAATCTCCAAAACTCTAATTCCTAAAAGTTCGACAACGCACTCGTATCGTAACTCCTCCGTTGCGGGTGTCCATGGGCGGCGCTGATTGCTTACCATCAGGTAAGCCGTCTGCTTGTTTGCCGAATAATTACATAAAAAAAAATTGATAAAAGAATTTCTAGTTTCAAATGGACAGGACTCTTATTCATGAGTCTTGCAGCCGACCGCCGTTGTGTCTTCACTTTAGGACATTATTTTTATTAAATGAGGAATCTTATTCATAAGCAGCGTTACGGTGCGGCGAGGAAGTCACTACTTTACAAGTTACTTGCAACTTTGTAGTTAATGACTAGTCGCGTATTGGAGGATTAAGAGTTTTAATTAGTACTTTTAAGACTTTTGATTTTACATAGATATTGAGATCATTAAATTGCAACTATAAAAAAAAATATATGCGTTTATTTTGTCTAAAACCTTCATTAAAATCTATTTTATTTTAAGTTTATAATATCCAAAACGTACTAAACACACCATAATTAGAATTTAGACACCTAATACAATACACATTAATGTTCAATTTTGAACAACAAACCTGGTCTCATCTTCATCTTCGTTCTCCTGCAGCAGTTTGCACTGCTTGACGAGCTCGACGCTGGTGGCCATGGTGTCGCGCGTGAAGGCCAGGGCCGGCGACTGCAAGGTACCGCGACACAGCTGGTCGCGCTGGTCTATGTAATACGATTGGAGTTCCACCGAGTCTTCAAAGATCTGACTGTCCGTCCGTGATAGGCGACGGGCTCTGTGAATGATGGAACATAATATGTAGTTAACGTTTACTACCGGTAACCTTATCTACCGGTATATGAGACACAATAGAAAACACACTGTATCTCGCGTAGGTATATCTAAGTTCCGGCATATCACGGGTTATAGGATTTTTCAATAATCAATTATTTTGATTGTGTAAGCATTTTCTACTACAGTTTTGTCTTATTTGTTTTATTATATAAACATATGCACGGAATAAAGATAAAAGAGAAAAAGGGAGAAATATTAATAAATAAATGAAAAATAAACTAAATACGGTAAAACGGGGTGAATAGAATTCGAGGAGTGAATAAATACAAAATAGGGGTGAATAGTAACAAGAAAAATTCGTTAACATATGTTCACCCCTCAAATTTTATTCAGCTCGTTTTACGGTACTGAGAAATATCTAAACTATAGACTAAATATCAAAACTATAATACCAGAGACTTTGCCAGACCATCGACAGTCGCGATTAATGTACCAAATATCAAAAAACTTAAATACAAAAACAAATACTCCAGAAATATAAAGAGAGTAGTGTAAGCCAACCTCTATCAACTCCCGCGGAACTACCGGGATTTTCCAGAAACAAAGACATGTTTTTTTTTATCATAGCAAAGAATACAAGATGATAAAAGTTGTCATGATATACCGAGCAAAGTTAATCCTGGGTCGCAATGTTGATGACAGACAAGGCCCATTAAAACTCACCTTTCGAAGACAGCAAACATGTCCTGCTGGAAATGGTCGAGCCGTTTGTAGAGGCCCTTGTCCAGCCTCCGCTTCACCAGGTCCAGGGAGATGGCGCGCACTTTCTCACCGTTAGCCGCCTCATCATGCTCTGGTAGCTCCGCCATACTGTCTGAATAGCATCTAAGGAATGTACCAATAAAAAATAACATTTTAGCATGATTTTTTTCTTCAAAATCTTTTGCCCCACACTAGGATTTTTTCCTGTGTCGTGGGTGCGTTTAAAACATACAATTCCACATACACATCACACCCAGACCCGGAACAACAATTTGTGATCACACAAAGAGTTGTTCCATGTGGGAATCGTTGCCCAACCACCGCATCAACCGTGCAGTCACAGTTCTAAGTGTGGGAGAGCTATGATTCGGCACGAATGGGCCGGCTCGACCGGAGTGATACCACGGTTTCACAGAAAACCGGCGTGAAACCATACTTACGTTGTGTTTCGCCGTTTCCTCTATCCTTATCCCTAAGAACCCACAAGAGGTTTGCAACGCACTAGTAACTCCTCTGTGGTATTACGAATGTCTATGGACGGCGCTGCACTCGGTAATCCGTCTGCGCGTTTGCCAAACCATGACAAAAATAGTGATGGTCTATCAGACCACTCTATTTTTTAAGATTCTAAAGTAGTCGTAGTAATAATGGACAGTAGAGCACAGAGTATAAAAATTTTAATCATCAGCTTACTCAAGTTTCCGTCATTCGAGAAACGCTCTACTAGTGACAAGTGACAACGGGACATGTAATCGGTAATTTTCTAAGGTATCAAAGACAAACTATGTAGTTATATCCAGTAAATTGTTGTTAAGTTTGGGTGAGCCATGCTTCGGCACGAATGGGTCGGTTCGACCGGAGTGATACCACGGCCTCACAGAAAACCGGCGTGAAACAACCACAGCGTTGTGTTTCGCCGTGTGAGTGAGGTTACCGGAGGCCCAATCCTTCCCCTTCCCGGACCCTTCCCCAATCCCTAAATCTTCAAATCCCTAATCCCTAAAAGGTCGGCAACGCACTCGTAACTCCTCCGTTGCGGGTGTCCATGGGCGGCGCTGATTGCTTACCATCAGGTAATCCGTCTGCTCGTTTGCTGACTTATTACATTAAAAAAAAATACTGTTCATGATGTTTAGACTATGTTTTTTCTATGTTTACCAGAAACCTCAAATTTAGGTATACTACGAAGTAGAATGATCATTTTTTATTTAAAAATCGAATTCTCGATATAGGAACTGAGTTGTTTAAATCAGTGAATATACAAAAAGAGTATCCCACAAAATTACTCACACACACTCTTTAAGCTACGAACTTCGAACAAGATAAAACAGAATAACAACCATAAAAGCTCAACATTAAACTCTAATCGATACAAAATAAAGTTCAAAATAGTGTAACTGACCTGCCCTCTTCATCTTGATGATTGTAAACGCTTGTAAATAGATTGAGCAGGAGCTCTTGTACTGCAGCTGGAACATCTGGTACTGCATCATCGTCCTCCCTGCATAAACAATACCAATCAGTACATAAATCATATTTTTTGTATTTCCCGCATTACATGTGATACAAATACCTTTTTTATGAATGGTCTTTATTTCTATATGTTAAATGTATATGAATTTGTATGTCTGTAAATACACAAGAGCATAATAAAAAGAATAAAAACTAAAACAAAACACGACGCTGAAAAAGTATAAAACTGAATACAGAAAGGCGTAGTGACACGTTACATTTACCTACCATACCTGCACTTTGATAACGTGTAACATATGATTACATACATATAAAGCCTGTCAAAATCATAACCCTCCTTTTGCTTTGCCGTAGTCGGGTAACAACACAAAATAGAGACTGTGATTAAAAATTGATATATTTCTTTTAAAACTCAAAATGTTTGTATACCTATGCGAAGTTTATTCAGATTTGTTCGGTAGTAAAAAAAGGATTGAAATGACGGCTAAATAAATAAATAGAGATAGACTCTCTATCTATACTTTATTATAAAGAGGTAAAATTTTTAAGTTTGTATGTAGGGGGTAATCTTTGGAACTGCTGGTCGGATTGCCATAATTCTTTCACTTATAGATAGCTACAATGTTCCTGAGTGCTATAGGCTATAAAATATCACGCTACGATTAAATGGAGCCGAGCAGCGGGTGAAACCGCGCGAGATTAGCTAGTATGTTATATGTATGTGAATTTGTATGTCTGTAAATACATAGGAGCAAAGCACAAGACAGAGATTGTGTTTAAAAATTGATATATTTCTTTCAAAACTCAAAATGTTTGTATACCTATGCGAAATTTATTCAGATTTGTTCAGAAATAGTAAAAAAATGATTGAAAAGACGGCAAAAATAGTGATAGAATCTGTATTTCTTAATAAGTTTATAGACTCTTTAATTTAATCTCTAATAGCGTTATTACAAAACAAGAGTTTTCTTTAGGGTCTAAACCATTCAGCCGGGGTTGCGGGTTAAGCTTGACTTTGAAGCGCAATGAGTCACCGCGGCCTCAGCCCAGAACAGGAGAAGGAACGGGGGGTTTTTAGTCAGTAAGAGTCTGACACTCTGATTACGACCTAAGATTCACAATACAAAACCTGACTCAATGGTTTAAACCTAGACTAAAGATGTAATAAAGTATCTAAATGATGGCCTATAATAACGAAGGCAAAAGAGTATGCCGATGCCGATCCGGTTCGATGGATTTTGAGTGATGAAAACGCGACGAAGCGATGGATGTCTCAGAGATCCGCTTGGGTATAAGTAGGTACTATTTTTTTAATTTATTTTTCCTCCATGATTTTATTGTATACTTATATGAAGATGGTAAAACAGGTCCTTAATGCATAATCTTGCAAACTGATTTGTCAAAAAGATGCAATTGAAAGAATGAAATAAGAATAAAATACTTGAATGAATACGAATGTATGAAGGAATCAAGCGCCAAAACACACACGGTGTAATTTCATGTGCAAGCTCACATACAAACACCTCAAATAATATGTCAATAATCTTCAATTGATTTCCAACCATATTATATCTATATTATAAAGCTGAGAGTTTGTTTAAACACTGTAATCTCCAGAACTACTGGTTTCAACTGGATTATTGTTTTTGTGTTGGAAAGTCCTGTTATATGATGAAGACCAAAGAAAATATGGATGGATTGTGTGAGAAATGGTTCCTTATGGAAGACAGAGGAGTCAGTAATAGCGTGACGGGTGACAAGACAGAATGGAAGAAAAAAACATATTGCGCCGACCCCAAATAAAACGGGACAAGGTCAGGAAGATGATGATAGTCCTATTATCAAGGAAGGCTATAAAAAATTACGCTATGACCAATAGCAGCCGAGGAGCGAGTAAAACCGCGTGGGAGAAGCTGGTTGAAAATCAATTGAAAAATTTTAACAATTTCGGTTAGTTTATTGTACTGTATATTCACTTGCATTATTAGAACAATACTGGCGAAGGTAACACGGCCTTCAGTAACATCTACACATTCAGACAAACTTTAAACACCCTATAATAACAAACCAATGAATGAGCCAATCGAATTTAAACATTAAGATGATAAACATTGAGTCGCAATTAGGAAACAAATTATTCAATTTGAAAATTTTGCAAAACTGTACTTAAATGTCTAAGGAATAAGATACATTTTTTGTTTAATTGCGTCTCCATTGTTTCTACATGCATTTCGTGTAGACGCACCTGTTATTGACGCGTCCTGATCCTCTGCGCATCCATACGCAGGTTGCATGTAAATATTTATATATTAAAGGATAAGCGACACTATTCCTATATATATAAGGTTGAAATTTTAGAATAATTTGGTTATAGTATTAAAAATACAAATTTCCCCCTGAAACCTCATAATGAAATCATCATTCTTTGATTCTCAAACGAGTATGTTTCGCCATGCAATATAATTAGTGAATCATCGATCAATTTGTCGTTATTAATAGATAGCTTGCTCGATTGCAATCATTACTTAATACAATTTATATACCCGTACAAAACAAGCTAAATAAATCCAAGCCTCTGTCTATAACCTTATAGAATTACAAACAAAAAGCGACTTCTATTAATAATAATAATTATTCTGATTATAAATTTCACCATTATGAACCTTAGTGTCAAAATAATAAAAGCTAGAGTTAATTTATATATAGAGATAAATTAATTCATTCTCTTACCTTAACATTTGTTTGGTCTGTAAACAGACTCTGTGGAGTATCAAAGCGTCTTTATAGATCTGTGAGTCCGGTTCGTTGTATTTGCAAGCATTGTCAAACATCAGTATAAAATCCGATGCTAGCTCGTTGACGGAGCCGTAGACATTGTTCTTTAGTTTGTGGGCTATTTTCTCCATGTCTATAGGGTTTTTAATTAATTCATAGTAGTCTGGGTACTCGATTTTACTCGGTAGCTTCATGAAGATCAGGGCTAGTTGACGGTTAGCTGTGAAATAAGAATATTTTTAAATACGTATGTATGTACTAAACGCACCAATTTCGTTGTGCATACAGGAGGGCGCTTATTCGAAACCTGGCAAGTATCGATGTGACGTTTCCCGAGTTATATGTTCCTTTTAAGTAAGTAATTAAAGAAACTACTAACGGCGAAAGAAAACATCTTGGGGAATTCCCAAGATCCCCAAGATGTTTTCTTGGGTATCAACACGATGGTACGATGTGTATTGAAGATTTAATAGTTATAATTAGAAATGTCTAATTATATTTAATGCTATTAATGCTCAAACCTTCTCCGTGTGAGAGAGAGATAAGTCTAGAAACTGGCATACTTATGATGATGACACTAATACCTGGGATAGTGCCAATTAGTGGTATCTACTTAATTTAAAAAGTTCTGCCGGACAGACGAAGACTCATATAGAAAGAGAAAAACATAAAGTTACAATCTGCATCATCAAGCATCGAAAAAGTTTTCTTCTCTAAGAAAAAGAAAAACCTTTATAAAATACCAACCTTTAGGATCCCTATAATCCCTGATAGCATCATACAAAGTCCTTAACTTCTGTTCAAAAGGCGACAATTGCCTCTGTTTGACCACTTTAATAGCTTTCAATGGAGTTTTCTTCTCAAAGCTAGTGTTATTGTGGACTTCTTTAAGTTTCTCGTTCATCACACGTTCTAGAAGGTTAGCGTCTTCGTATATCATTGAACCTTCCTCGTTGAATTGACGGCAGTTCGAGAACATTAAACGGAAGTCTGATACCATTTCATCTATTGAATTGTAGCGGTCATTCTGGAATAAGAATCAATATTATAATTTTAAAATGGATGTTTATACTCATACTTTTCTTTGAGGGTTGAAGTAGACCCCTTAAAAAAGTATCAAATGACTTCTCTCTCTCTCTCTAGGTGGAGCAAGAGTGTCAGACTCTTACTGACTAAAAACCAACCCGTTCCTTCTCCTGCTCCAGGCCTGTCTAAATCTATACATTAGAAATGTTCTATGTTTAATGTGATATGGTTGCAAATAAGCATACGGATAACATAATGGTGAGCAATCGACGCCGCCCATACACCAGAGTTGCCGGCCATTCGGGGTTTTGGTAAATTAAATATTGGAGGGAGGGGGATGGGAAGAATTGGGCATCCGGTAACCTTACTCACACGGCGAAACACAACGCTGTAGTTATCCCATATCAGTTTAATTGTGTTTTATTTTTGTGTAATAGACCGGCAAACGAGCAGAGGGATTGCCTGATGGTAACAGAGGAGTTACGAGTGCATTGCCAACCTTTTGGGGTTTAGTGAATTTGGAGATTTAGGGATTGAGGAGGGATGAGGGGAGGGGAAGGATTGGGCATCCGGTAACCTCACTCACACGGCGAAACACAACGCTGTGGTTGTTTCACGCCGTTTTTCTGTGAGGCCGTGGTATCACTCCGGTCAAGCCGGCTCATTCGTGCTAAAGCAGGGCTTTTCATACCTCGTCAAATTAAATAAATATTGTATAATGACACATACCTTAATATTAGCTTCAATAGTAATCATATCAATGGGTTTATCAATCACATTATAGTATTCTGGATACAGTTTCTTGCTTGGTTTCTCCATAAATAACAGCATTGGTTGTCTTCCATCCGAGCAGGTGAACTCCACCAATTGTTTCGATACATAATGAAGTTTTTTCTTCAATGGTAGGTTGGATTTGACCGGGGTGCTGATAGGAGAAGGAGCTGAGGCCCCTTGTACGGGGTTTAAACGAGGACGGCCTGTAATTAAAGTTGCATTATAGAATTCGGTTTTTAAAATATAGGTGATTGAAAACCTATATTGTTAAGATCATTAACCATAATAGCTGTGTATACATTAATAAAAACCACCTTCCGGTATTCCATTGGGTAGTTTCCTAGGTCAAAAATAAATTAATTTGATGTTTCAATACAATTCATAATTAATAATTAAGTTTATTGTCAAATCTTAATTGAGTTGTGAAAGTGTGATAATTTTCGGAATATCTTTTGTATTGAAAAATAGGTACATAATACAAACAAACAAACTCTTCCACTTTATAATATTATACGTATAGATACTAATTACCTCTTGGTCTGGGCGTTTGTTGGGCTTGGTTCTTCACGGACGAGAGACTCTCGTCGTCGCTTGAAGAACTCTGCACGATGTCCAGCAACTCTTGGACGCGCTGCTGCATAATTCTGGTGACAACATATATCATTTTTACACATCCTTGACATGTGCCCAAAAACCATTCTTTTCTACGAGTCTATGTTTGCTAGTTAGAAATTCCAAATTGAAGTATACCGTCGAATTAATCAAGGAAAGTGTGAGCTTCATGTTCATTTGTCTCCACAGGAATCTACATTTGGGAACGAGGCAATAGCTTCACCAATAAATCATTGGAAAAGTTTTTTTTTGACATTCAAAAATGCCTTTAAGGATCTAATTGAAATTAATGATTTTGACTTTAAACTAACCAACAGGCTGACTTTTTATTCTTAAATCTTTGTTTGACGTACAAAAGACTATAATGGAAATGGTCTACATTGAAATAAATAATTCTACTTTGACAAACGGGAAGTGGAATCATAGAATTCCCTGTTTTTCTTTTGGGTACGGGACCATGAAAAAAAAAATGAAAAAACTTACCTTTGCAATTTGACAGCGTCCTTGTATAGCCTTGATGTCGGTACGTTGTACTGTTTCGCGTTCTCAAACATGATGTTCATATCACCAGCCACTTCAGACAACGTCCCGTAGTTGCCCCGTCGAATCTTATTCTTAATTTGGTTCAAAGAAACTGGATTCTTGATCTCCTTGTAGTAATCGGGGTATGCCCGACGAGATGGAAGCTTCCAGAAATCCTCTGACATAGGACCTATAAATATAGCGCAATTTTTCATCCAATAAAATACAGTGTAAAAGCCGGCGCGAACCATCGCAAGACTTTTCCTGCTGGTGGTTATTTTTTTATATTTTATTTTGTTTTATTGGCCAAACAATAATTGTTGACACTTAAACATGATCGAATTATACTTTTTAAAACTTGGGTAAGTGAAGAACTTACAAATGAAGAGCGACAAAAAAAAAGTCATTTGGCTCTTTCTCTTTCAAATTTAAAGTTCACAATTATTTGCTAGAGAAACTGACAGATTCAACTCATTAGTGTATTGTTGTTTTTGTTTCTTGTATATATTCGTAATCTATTCTTCCCATATTCAATAGTATTATTTATCTATACTAATATTATAAAGAGGTAAAATTTGTAAGTTTGTATGTTTGTATGTAGGGTGTAATCTTTGTAACCACTGGTCGGATTGCCAAAATTCTTTTACTGGTAGATAGCTACAATGTTCCTGAGTGCTATAGGCTATAAAACATCACGTTATTTATTATTGTATTCATGTATGTTTTCGTATTATATGTATATGTTGCCTTATGTGCATATGCTTTTGAATTATGTGTGTGCTTGTTTAGAACCTATTGTTAACACTTCTCTGCATTACCCGTGAGGTTTACTGGTAGAGAATGCCTTCGGGCATTAAGTCCACCTTTGTATATATTTTTTTGTACATAAACACCCGGTTTCTGAAAGGCTTGTCAACGCTAAAATTAACTAATCTCCTGTTAAATCTCTTGTCAAGTCATATGATTGGTTGTTGATAATTCAGTCAATCAATCAGATGACTTGACAAGAGATTAAATTGATTTTAACATTGATCGGCCTTTCGGAAACACAATACTAAAATAAACATAAGAAATTTAAGGAGAAAGGAAAAAAACGAAATATTACAAGATTATAAGTCCGGTTATCTCATTACTTCTTTCTTCCGAGTAGGCACGTTGAATAATTTAGGACAATTTCTTTAGTAAAAAAAAATACAATTTGCACCTTAGTGATAAAGAAGCATATTGTTTTCTCAAACGCAAAAAATATTGCGATGGTTCGTGCCGGGAGCTTTAGATAAATATAGAAAGTCGTAAATCAACTCACTACCGTTTGGCCCCAAATGATTCTTGACAGTTTCCAGAAGTTTCCATTGTGGCGAGTCTTCATTTTCATTTTTCTCTTCATCACTTTCGCCGGCGCTGTCTTCTGAATGCTGGAAGAACAAATCAATACAGCGCTTACAACAAAAAATAATTATTTGTCAGCACAGATATTGAGATTACCTAATAGTCTCTTTTTTATTAAATTAACTAGTTGTAATAATATATTATTCACTCTTCTTGACAACTGATTTATGACCAACAACATCTATTTAAAAATGACATTGTTTACTTATGAGCTACTGCCGCGCAGTTTCATCCGCTGCTTTTAATTGTGCGGTGATTTTATTTTTGGCAAAATGACAAATCACGGAGAAGTGTAAACTGTTAAAAATATTATACATTATTGCGACCTAAATATCCAAATAAATAAATTGACAATATGCAAGTCCAAAATCATTAAGAAAGTTACAAAAATCCTTCATTGAGATCTAAATCAGGAACGTCGATTCAACAATACCTTAACATCAGGCTCTGTGTCAGACCCTGGCGGTTCCATGATGGCCAGCGCCTTACTGTTGGGCACAGGCCCAACCCTTGAAGTCCTCTTGCTGCGGATACGTTCCGAAGTCTTTGCCGGTCCACTACGGCCATGTTGATCAATCTCTTGTTTGCGCATTTGTATTACCTGAAGAATAACCTTTAACATCAATGGTCGTCTAAGTCGACCGGTGGTAATGTAAGGTGCTTTGAAATTACTGTAGCATTTTTATTATAATTTTGGTGCTCGAAGGAATCGTAGGAGCTATATATACAGATTATGTTTCCAATTCAAATATCAAAAAGTTTTCCTAAAATTGTATGACATGTATAGACATGAGTTTGAACTATATCGCCAACTAAATCATTAAAATTGGTTCATTTTTTTCAGATCACTATTGTACAATAAAATAATAGTGTATACATTACAATATTAATTTATCAAACCCTAAGCGAATGCCGATTGTCTCGAATTTTCAGTGAGAGAAAGGAAAAAATGTTTGAAGGATGGCATAATCAGTTTAGGGCTATTTAGGGATTTTTCAATGGTTAGATAAAAGTTATTTGGGGAATAATTATGATGCTGTCGGGTCAGAATGTTTGTATAAGGCAGTGACAGCAACAATTTTATTCCTCAGATAACATTTACCTGACTATGGAAAAATCAGCTCTTAGAAACATTGTCTCCGTGTTAAATAACGAAAAACAACAAACCATAATCCATTACATTAATTTCAATCTCAATTTAATATCAAAGATAAAAACCAGAACAATGTGGTCTATATTAAAAAAGAAAACAGTATTTAACCACTCCAATATAAGCCCAAAAATCATAATGAAACCAACCTTTTTCAAAGTCTTAGCATCCTTATAAATCTGACTTCCTGGTTCATTGAAATGGCAAGCATTCCTGACCATCAGTAGAAGGTCCTTCTCTAATTCTGTCAAGTTAGTATACTCTCCACACTGAATCTTCTGTGCTATAGTCTTTAGGTCTATTGGGGAGTCAATAATGCTGTAATACTCTGGGTAGCGACGCTTCGATGGTAGAAATTGGAATGCAGAGTATAAATGCCGGCCATCAGTGTTTGCTGACATCACCTAACAGAAGAAGAGCATAATATTTTAAATAACTAATTAGAAATTAATTAATATTTACTGAAAATAAAAATGTCGTATTAGTAAGGAGGTTAAGGCGCTCGTTTCTGGCCAGATCTTGACTTGACTTGGCTTTGGGCACCAAACTCTTTGGCTGAAGCCTGATAAGTAGAAGTGAGAAAAGGTAAAAAAAACATCGTGGGAGATCCTGGACTGATAATTTCTAATTATACTATGTCATTGTACATTAACTGTTAATAGTTGTATTGTGTTACAAAAAAGGTCACTCTAAGTAAGTAAGTATGAGTACCTTATTACCAAAATGATTCTATAATAATATGGATCTTTTAAATCTTGAAATGGCATATTTATTCACATTTCATGTCTACTTACAGCATTAAAGAGTTCTTCATACACATTATCCTCTTCATTATTGGTGGAAGTCTCTGACAGATCCTCGGCTACATCGGATCGCCGGCTGGATGAACCGTTGCGAGACAGTTTTGGTAACTTGATGTCTTCATCTGGAGGACAGATTAAACAATAATTTGTATGATTACGAGAAGTATTTAATCACAATTAGCCACTAACAACGACTCATCGGAAATGTCAACGTCGAGAGCTTTTTTTATGAATTTTGCACTGGGTTGAATATTTTGACGTCACACTTTCTTGCTTCATATAGTATTCTTATTTCGTTAATTTTTTTTAATAAACAAGAGTTATTGAGTAGCGCGGCTTATGTGTATAATAACATTTACTAAACAGTGGAAAATTTTTCATCAGCATTGCACCCTTGCGTAGCCAGTGTGGACTTGTGGAGAACTATTATTTTAATTCATATTTCAATTCAGTAGACTTTTTTTAGATGTTGCTCAACACTAGGATTTACTCCTGTGTCGTGGGTGCGTTTACAAACATACATTTTTATATGCACATCACACCCAGACCTGGAACAACAATCTGTGGATCACACGAAGAGTTGTTCCGTGCGGGAATCGGACCCGCGACACGTTGCGCGCCAGCCAGTTGCCTAGCAGCCGCGCCAACCGGGCAGTAAATTAAAATGTGGACATTTTAAGAAGCAGAATTATAGCATCTATACATAATATTGCCATATCAGATCTCACCATTCTCCAAAGCCTGTTTAGTCTGCATGTATAGCTTCCAAAGGTCGACTGCATCCCTGTATTCCGCCGTGTCAGGCTTGTAGAATGCCTTAGCATTGTTTACCAACAGCTCAATGTCTGCAGATAACTCCTCAATATCCTCATAAGTATCCGTTTTCAATTTTTGCTGAACCTATAAGAGAATTTTAATATTACTGTTTGACGAGGCAGTTTAAAATAAAGACATACATACATGTTAATGTAAAAACTAAAACAAACTGCTTATGTCCTGTGTGCAGAAACTAAACCTAATGTGTATGTAAAACCAACTTCTCATACAGTATAAATATAAAATCTACATGGCCTCACAAAAAATCAGCATGAAGTGAGCTTACTGAGGGATCATTTCTAAACTTCAGAAGCAATAATCCTAAAAATCAGGAACATCTACATAAACCTTCTATTGTTGCGTGTGTCCATGATCATAATTAAAAAAAAACAAAGTTTTATTTATTGAATCCACTAATTTACTATTAGTAAGCCGTTCCTTGACTAGCACCTCACCTTCAGTGGGTTAGCTGCAATTCATATTTGAAATAACCTGATACCTTCACATAAACTTCATTGACTTATATAATATGTAACCAGCAGACCCAGCCACGCATTGCTGTGGCTAAGGTTCTTGTCATATTACATATGGACAAATGATTTGCAATAAAATAAAATTGCGACTATAAATTGAGATGTAAGCTATCCTATCTTTCAAGTTGGATCAAAATGCACACGGAATGCAAATCAAATTTAAAATCGGTTTAGTAGTTTAGCAGTCCATCGCGGACAAACATGGGACATGAAATTTTTATATATAAAAAAGATATTATTGTCATACCCATTTCTATGCTTCACAATATGATCACTGCAATATTAGTAACCCAAAACCTACATAAAACCTCCTTTTGAAAACCATCAACAATTTAAATTAAATAAAAGAAAAATACTCACTCTCAACAAGTCAATAGGTTGTGATACAACTTCATAGTACTGCGGTTCCTGACGCCTCTTTGGTGCTCGGATGAATGAGTCACAGAGTAACGTACCATCTTCTTTCTTGTATGAACGGATTGTGTCATACAATTGCTGGCAGATTTCACCCTAATAAAACAGTTTTAGAACAAATTTATTTTTAATTGATACTTTATTCACAAAATGCACATAATTGGAACTTTTCAGAATTTTGTCTTTTTCAATCTTTGGGTGGCAAAGAGTAACAATTATTAGACTAATCTCCTTATTTACTTATAACATTAGGTAACTTAATATAACAGCATATTTTAATGATAATAGAGGTTTAGAGGTTCAAGTACAATCCAAATATTCAGATTGGGAAACTAATTTAACTTCTTAACTAAATAATTAATATGCATTAGATAGATCAAAAGTTTAATTTTGAAAAAAGCTTTGCAAGTTAAATAAGCCGGCAGTGATTTTGCGTCCTTAACATTTCAATTTATCCTACTTACGGGATCCAACTTCTTCCGTTTCCGAGCCGATGGTGGAGGGCCAGGGTTGCTTAATTCGACTCCATCATCACTGTCATCCAAATCAGCTCCTCGCGAAGCCCCTGACGATGCACGGCGTCTTTTGCTCATTTTTAACAAATGGTTCACTCACAAAAACTATGGCGTAAATCAGAACAGAAAGCTATACTGTTTCATTCTTGTGGAAAACCCTTAGTATAATTATATTTAAGTCACAACTACATTTAATTTTACAATTAGGTCGATGATCATTGTAAAATAATCAAAACTGTAAAACAAACGCTAAAGGAACGATGCCGTAGGTACTGAGATGGCTGTAATACCAAATGTTTGCATTTTTGAACATTAAGCAAGGTAAACAAAGTTAGCAAGATTGAATATACTACAAGAGTGAAAGAGATGTAAGACTACTAATGCTTTATTACAAAACTATACCATTGTAAAGTGGAATGCAATCAAAGTTCATTGACAGATTGACAGATAGATCATGTCACAGATAATAAAGGTAAAACAATTTACACCTTTACAGACCTACCCTGACCTACCGAATTTACAGAATGAAGCATCTATGTTGTCCATACTAAACGTTTCAGTCCGCGATACGACCTATTACCTAAAATAGAAATTGGAGACATATAGGTTAAAATAAATAATTTACCTACTTATTTTATTGTCATAGAGAAAAAGTATTTGCATCGCTACCCTCATTTTTATACCTTAATGTATTAAATCAAAAGCGATCGAAAGTTCGCAACGTACGTACGTTACAGAACATTTTATATATTTGTCTAATACTACAGCTATGGAAAAATATTATAAAAACCTTATACTATGTGGCGATATCGACTTTTACTGCATAGGATGCCAAGAACTATTTCAGGTCATACCAGAAGTTGAAAAACATATACGTTGGGACCAACACAGAAGATTTATAAAAAATCAAGCTTATTTAGAGAGGTACAAGCATGATCACATTTATAAGGTATGGCTGTTTGGTTTTCTAGTCATAATTATGCGTATATATATGGAAATAGAGTTCACGATATTTTCTTACAAATAAAATTTCTGTTTCAGATATACAATAACTATTATTGTGAATTTTGCAATATCCTTTTCGGTGATAAAAATGATATTGGTAAACATATCGGTACTAAAACCCATAAAGATTTTAGGAGCAACAAGAAACCTGAACCTAGGAACTTTATAGGCTTTTACGATGCTGGCTACGTGATTATAAATAAAGTGATACTAAATATGACCCAGTGGAACTCAATAATCGACCAAAAGTGCCATGTATGTGACTCAGAAGTTTCAGATACTGCAGCTAGTCAGCACATGGCATTAGAGCGACATGTAGTCAACATAATTCAGTCCAAGACTGTATATGAAGAAGAGCAGGAGCGGTATTACAGACTGGTAATTTAAGAACACTTTTCAATATTATTATCAAAAAAACGACGTGTAGGAGTCATTAATCTAGTAGGTACCCACAAACACCAAAAGAGTATGTAACCACTACGTATACAAACACTTCGGGCGTATGTAGTTTTTTTTTCGAATAGGAGGTAAACGCTGAAGTTGTCAGCGCTGGCCATGAACACATGTTACACATGCAACACGAAAAGAGTCACAGGCGCGTTATCGGAGGAGGATACTCAATTCTTAAAGATTTAAAGTTTACTTAAGTCTTTGATTGCTGACAAAAGCTGTTGAAGGCTAATCCTCCGCAAGCGTCGGATACCATTGTCCGACATGGCGTTCTAAGTCTTAATTTTAATTAGTAGGGGGCTTCATTGAATGCGAATTGCTTTTGTTACTGATATAAGTAATTAAAATAATTATGTCTATCAACCAGCATACTTAGATTAGATGCCTGTGGTTGAGGGGCCAGTGGTACTAAAGGTGGGGTCTACATTGTTGTAATAAAATTGTAAAAATCGTGGTAGGCGGAATATTCTATATTCTGCCTACCTCCTCGAGACTAAATTATTCAATACCTACATCTCAGAAAAAAATATAAAATGTGTTTGCTTTGTTCAGAATCTAGGACACTCATTATTTGCTATCTGGAATTCATTTGCTATTGAGTTTTAGAGCGTCAATGGTTGATAAGCTGTAGGCTTCGTTGTTCTAAGGATCTCGCCACCCATCTATAATATGTGTGCAATTCTCTTCTCTATTTTTCTATTGGCGCCTTCTTCTAGCGAAAATGATTCATAATCTACAATCTACAACATTTATTATGTTAGAAAATTACATGCCTACATGTGGCAACATTTGACTTGACTCGCAGTCAAGCTATGGCTTAAAAGACTCGTATCCAGGCCATAACTAAAAAAAAAAATCAGTCAAGCTAAAGGCTGTTTGTAAACATTAAAATTAAATAAACAAAGAAAACTGCTTTTGCTTTGACTTATAAATTTGGAGTTCGAGTCGAGTGAGTTGAGTCGGGTCCATTTGCTGTACTTGGCCATCCATTTGGCTAGGATCCTTTTTTGCTGTATATACGTTACGTTTAGTGCTTGAGTTGCAAAGTAGGTAGGTAGGTAATAGTTTGTTACACAAAAATATGTGAGATTTTTTTCTTTAGGGTCGGGCAGTTTTTGTTCAATTAAGTACAGTCAAACAAAAAAAGCACACGTGAAGTAAGAGTAAAAAAAATCACAGTCGTCGCATAACTTTCTTTGTGATAAATATTGGTTCACGTCTTTTTTTCGGTATTATATTTGTGTAGAGGTAGACTATTGGTCATTGTAGTACTCATACTAAATTTTAAATTCAATTTCAGGTTTGCAACAATCAGTATCACTGCTTTACATGTAAGAAGGTTTTCTCAGCTCAGGATTTTGACAATCACTGGAGCACCTGTGAAAATATTGATTCAATTGAGCTGAAGAGACTGAAGGATAGTAAAGTTATCGGGATGACGGACTTAGCAAAGATGCAGGAATTGCAAAGAAAGCTAATTGGTACTGTACAAGAGTTCTACTGGGTGGATGAGAAAAATAACTTGGCAACATGCAAATACTGTAAGACAGTTGTAAATATTCAGTTCAAGGCAATGATAAATCACATGAAAAATAAACATGATAAAACTCACTTATCATCAACTGAGGAATCTTCTTCTGACGAAGAAGTACTTTATAGTGAAATTATTGACTATGGAAAACGGAGGTCAGAATTGGCTCAATTTGGCAGAGCAAACTTAATCAAACTCAATCACAATGGCAGTAAAGGGTGGTGTTCAGTTTGTGATTGCTACATGTCTGCTCATAAAAGAGTTTTTAAACATCATATTCGAGGATATATTCATAAGGGTTTCTTGGAAATCCAAGGCTTAACTCCGCTGCTGCATGATCCTGAGCCCAGAGATTTTAAAACACTTTCTGTTTTTGATTATAGCATAGAATATGTACCCTCAGAGAAAGCATTTTACATTGATAGTAAATATGTTGTGGATGTATTCAGCTTTTTCCTATTGTTTGAAATTAAGGGTAATCCACATTTTAAGAAGACTAAATGTTTTGCATGTAATGAATTGATTGTGCAAGGGCAAGAGCGCAAACATTGTGAGACTGCTGAACATAAGGAAAAGTTTCTTGAAGCTAAACTCATGGAGCCTGGTCAGGAAGAAGATAGTCCTAATTTTGGGGAATATATCAGAGAAGTATGTAGCTTGAATGTACCTATTAATTTCTTCTGTTTTAATGTTTGATTCCACACCACTGTGTAACCCGATTGTTACATCACAATAGGTACATCAATTTACAGTATCAAGAAAGAACTGAATAAATTTGCAAACAGATGATAATAATAATAATAAGGAATTTTATTTTGTTTCAGATAAAGCCAAACTTGTATCACTGTGGATTATGCAACCGTACACTGCCATTCAGAGCAGCATTGGAGTTTCATAAGACATCACCTGGACATCAGATTGTAAAGAGCAAGCGAATTATAGACCGTAAAACTCCAGCCATAATATTTAACACAAAACATGATGATGTTTACATAAAGCTATTGACAATTTGTGTGAAAGATCAAACTAACAAAGACCAAGCCAGCAAAAGTCAACCTAACAAAAGCCAAGCTAAGTAATATATATTACATATTTCTCCTATTTATGAGGATGAAATTTTAAATGAACTGAAATCTATCTACCTCATATTTTATCTTTCTAGTGTAGTTGACTTTACGTGCATAATATTAGCAAAACTAGTGGATTAGGAATTTATTATTTTATATTCTTAGGTATAACTAAATGGCTACCTCATACTACTACACACAGACTGAAGTATTATAAATATTCTGAAGTATTATAGTCATTTCCTTGTTCTTGGTAAAGTACACAATTGATACTTCTGTTTTAAAATAACAATTAATAATAAAGTTTTATGAAACAAAAATGTCATGCCAAGAATAGGATAACGGGCTGCTCATATTATATTGTTTATCATCTACCATTATATTAGTTATATTAGACAATATAAAATACATTCTCTTACTTACATCTCTGTTACGGCATACCCAGGGTTAATATTAGTAACAATTCTAAAAAACTCACTATACAGGTAGGCTCACCATACAGTTTCATGTGTATAGAGTTACATTATAATAATCTTTGACTACCAATGGTGATTTGTATTAAAGTACAAGAAATTATTGAACTCACCTGATTTATTACAAATTAGTGTTAAAACTGTGTACATGCTCCAACCTATGTAATTTTTAGTTCACTTGAATCTCAAACTATTTGGTGTTTTTTTAGCTAAGTTGTATATCTTGTATACAACATATGGATATTTGGTGATAGCTTGATGGAAATAAGCTTATCATTTTTTGTGCCATATGTTCAAGTTCCTATAAATAAAATGACTTCAAGTGTTGTTTACTGCTTCATAGGTCATAAGAATAGCTAGATAGCAAGATCGGAAAATATATTGATAATAATAATTATTAAAAATTGTTGTAATAACAAAGAGCTTAAATGCAAGCAGGTATATGAGATATGGGACCTTAACGGTTGGTACCCATAACCAGTTAAAAGTTTATATTATATTGTTCAATAGCTTTTATTATGATGAAATGTGTAATTTTAAATAGACTGACAACTTATCATACTTAAAAAAATAACTTTATTAACCATAGTAAGTGAATAAAAGTACCTAATTAAGTATTATTTCAGAAGACTGATTTTTAGTTAAAATCATTTTACAGCCCTTTACTTTATTTTTTAGTGTGTTATTGTAACTATGTAACATTCTTTACCACACAGTTTATATTAAGTAATAATTTTTGTAATAAAACATATTTGTTTATCTAGCAAGTAATTTAATTTATTTATAATAAACATCAAACCACTGTGGATAATGAGACAACAACATAATCAAATCATTTCTATTTTCTATATTAGATAAAAACTTTTTCGTAGATTCAATAAAACCTTTTTGTATTGAAGGAGCTAATTCCTCAATTGCTGTGTCTAATAATACTACTAAATGGCTCAAATGAGCAGGATACAATATTGAGAAATTATTAGAACTATTATTTTTTACATTTTGGACAAATATTTCAATAAGCTTTTGTATTTTGGGGTTGAAATTGGTCATTATAAATAAATAATTATTTACACTACAGCAAATTTGAAAACAATTTGATGAAAAAGATGCTTTATTTACTAAGTTTTTAAGAGAAGTATTAGAGTGACAATAACTTTCAATATCAATATCTTTATCACTTAATATACTGTGACATATTTCTAGTAGACTTTGCTCGGTTCCAATTTTAAATTTTATCGAGATATCTTCTGCTATATTTGGCTGGGTACAAACACTATCATTTGCCCATAGGTCTTTTAATATCTGTTTATTTTTGTTATCTGCAATATTCCAATGAATAATGTCTTTTAACAACTCATTATGGTTAAATCCATTTTGATTTAAATTAATTAAAGCTTGCATTATTTCAGGATTTATTTGTGAAGTGTGGTTACTGTTGATATTCATGTCTTTCAAATTTCGAACTAAAAACGCATCCAGATCTTTTTGTGTTGACTCGGTCTCAGTTGATGTTGAGTTTTTATTTATTTGTTCGTAAAATTCCAATAAAATTGCGGTTAAGTCTTCATTTATTTTTATGTGGTTTTCTGGTTCCATACGACACATTTTTCTTATATTTTCTAGTATAGATTTTCGTAGATTATTACTTGTCTTTGAGTTTTGTTGTGCTTGCGACAAGTTAAGTATTTTTACGAAACTTTTCGACAGCGCCTTCGCTACATTTCTATCGAGCGCTGGATTTTCGTAAATTAACTGAGGGCATGGCAAGTTATTTGATGTAATTATTTTCTCTATTAATTGATTATTCATAATTTGTTGACTTACTTTTTCTGGTTTATATCATAATAAAACAAATAAACAAACTTGCTAACAAAAATTCCAAAGCACCCGCTTTCTTCGTTTGACAATTCTAATGTGTGTGACTGACTGTGATTCATCTGTCACTGTCACTTTGTAGTAGTCTCAGAATATTAGCGTTTGGTTGCATAATTTGCATTTATTTTAAAGGTGAACAATATATTGACACGAATACTTTTCCTTTTATTATAATTCATTAAAAGTAAATTTTTCAAATTATTAAAATCAATATACACATTATTGAAAAATTATAAAAAATTAGCTGCACTGCCATCTGGCGTTAAAAAGATATTACTTTTCCAAATCACAGTCCATCTCTTTTTAAGTGTTACTATTCGACGGTAGATGGCAGTAAAAGTTTATCTCTTGCATGTAAAAAGGTTTACAGACAGACTAATAACAATTATTTATTTATACTTCATGCACAATAGGTACACAGGTGGATTTCGAAATTGAGTTTTAGAATGTAAATATTTTTGCAGTGTTTTCTAAGGCTGAAAACGCTGACGTTATGAAAACAAAATTTCGGCGAGGCGGAGAGGGAGTATCAAACTTGACATATTAGGTACCGTAAAACGGGGTGAATAGAATTCAAGGGGTGAATAAACACGGATGAGGGGTGAATAGATACAAGGAAAATTCGCCAACATCTATTCACCCCTTTCGTGTATCTATTCACCCCTCAAATTCTATTCACCCCGTTTTACCGTTACCTATTGACTAAAAACCACCCCGTACCGTCACCTGCTCCAGGCGAGTGCCGCGGTGCATTATATATTGCGATATCCAGCTGAACATCAGCCCAGTTATGGTAGCCCAGCTAGGTAAGTTTATGTGAAAATTTATCTATATGAAGATGGTGAAACAGGCGATAAGTAGGTATAAAAACGGAAGATAGGGACGGGACTCCTGTGGTACCTATTAGGACATTGAGACAACCACAGGAGACAACGATTTGTCAGATAAGTACCCAGCATGATACTAATGTTCCTTTTTCACATAAGCAAGCCCTGCATTCACTTTCGGCGATAGAAGGCACCCGCCTTTGACTCGGCCATTTTTTGTCAGGGGAAAATCAACTAATGATTTTTTTGCCCAGGATAAGGCGAGAGAGAGTGTCAGACGCTTACTGATTAAAAACCCCTGCTCCTTCTCTTGCTCTGGGCCGAGGTCGCGGTGCCTCGTTGTGCTTCGCCATGTGGGCGAAGTTACTGAAGGTCCAAACTTTGCCCCTTGTTCCCAATTCCTTCAATCTTCAAATTCCTATCCTCTAAAAGGCCAGCAATGCACAAGCAGCCCTACTGGTGTTGCGGGTGTCTATTGTTGACACCGACTATTTACCATCAGGTAATCTGTCTGATCTTTAGCCGTCGTATCCTATTTAAAATTAAGCTAAAGGTAGAAACCAACCAAAACCAAAAAATGTCTATGCCCATTTTTTTTGGTGTTACTTCATTACACATATTAGATTGTACCCATAATCTTCAGTCTATATCTGTTTACATTTTAAGATTAGGGCTCCGAAAGAGCTTTCACCATCTTCCTTTAATTTGTGATTTTATGTCATACTTAGTAGCTAAATTTTGTGATTTTTATGTACGCTCAGCATAGGTAAATAGACAATATAATAGAAATAGTAATAATAGACATCTGATTATTTTCCAGAAAGCTGTTCATCAATACTGTAACTAAATAAATGATTCGGGTACATAATAAATATAACGTTATCTACATAGCGTGAGTCATACAATTTGTATTGGGTGTAACATCCATCTTGAAAAACACCGTGAACTCTTAATGTTCGGCAAGTGCACTTTGACACGCCTCATACATATAACGCTTTCACATACAAACAACGTTACTTCAGAACATTAAATTATCACGATAAAGCAATAAAATTCGAAGCAGAAACAAAAACAAATTCAGAAAATGCCCCATAACAACACCAGGCTTAATAGGAGAAAGCCATATTCGGGCGTAAATTAAAAAAAAAATGAGATCACTCATCAAGATGAATAATAGAAGATTCGGATATCTTAATTAGCATGAATTTACACCGTTATAAAAGCGTGTAAGATGAAAAAAGGTTGATAATAATTCATATCGCCATTTCTTCGGTATATTTTCGAGTCAGTGTTTGTGGGGCCCAGTTAATAAATTATGATCGAGACCTCACATACAGCGGCCTAACTACGTGGGCCACACCGGGCCAAGCTCCGCCCGAGAGCGGGACGGAGGATGCGTGTTTCTCTGTTTGTTGTAAGGCTGTGTTGGTCCCACAATGCGTCTTAACGTTGCAATATAAAACTGGGAATGTTTACTTAAGGCTTAAAGGTCGCTTTTGGTGCAATTTAATTAAGTTTTCTAATTGGACGCGCCCTCGCGTCTACGGTTCGTACTTCTGTGTGTTATACGGTTTCCAGTTTAATGTTATTCTTGTCTAAGTAGCGGAACGTCCGCCTGAGATTGTTTTCAACGAGAATTAAGTTTTAGTTGAAGCTACCGGTTCGTACCTACCCGCAAATTGGAAATCTGCCCGCGCAGTCGTTGACTCTTGAATGGCGGACCGTCGTTCATCTGTAAAGTTTCTATTTATTAGACAACGAGTTATTTTTAGAAAGGAAACCTTTGGAATATTAATACTTAATTTATATATGTCAAACTAATAAGGTATACAGACTTTTATTCGTAGACGATGAATCGATTGTAGGTAGGTCCCTAACGCTAGTGAGCGACACGCTTTCAGTTTATACTTTAACAAGAACGTGTTTAAGGAATGCAAAACCAAATAGAAACGAAAAATATTATTTCACTATAAAAAAAATAACCGGCAAAAAAGTTCT